AAGTTTGGATATTATTATCCTGGTTTCTCCATACATTTAAATTTTATATGTTAATTGAGCATTAAGTAAAAAGAAATTATTTGGATAATGAAAAACAACATATAACAAACACTGATCATCACTGATCACTAATCTATAAAATTGATCTGAACTGATGATGGGTTCTTCTCCAATCCATTATACCTGTGTTGCCAAGGTCGGGGCCTGGCAGAGAACTTGAGGTGTCCTAAATCATTAAACCCCTATTTTGGGTAGGCAAAATCATACACCCCTGGGTGGACATGTCGTTTCTATATACCCCAACTTCTGGGCAATCTTCGATGGAAATTCCCTTCCACCAGTAAATAACACATGAAAGAATATGAGTTGAACATACTAAGAATGTACGTGTTTTATTCCGAAATTTGGGGAATTAACCAAATTCACTGGCGGTTAAAGGACCGCAAAGAGAAGGAAGAAAGCCAAGAACGTGCAACCAGAAGGCTGCAAAGGCTATGGGATTTCCATGTAAAGGTGGCACCGTTACAATAAGATGGTATCGTTTCAATGCAAACACCTGTTCAAAAATTGTCATGCTCCCATCATGAATGTGATCTCATAATAATCTAATAATAGGAATCCTAATATTCCACCTCGGGGCTCGATTGGCTCTCCCCTAGTATCAAGACCCAGACAGTATGATTATTACACTGCTCTCTTCACACATCTGTGGCTCCACCATGTGGAGGTGATGCGAGAAAGGACCAAAGTTTGAAGACACCCACACCGAAAGCAAAGCTGCCTAGGTCAGATAGCATGCCAACTGGCACAAAGGTAGACAAGAAGACTGAGAGCAAAAGGCTTCGAGAAGAGGGTGAGGCAATTTTGGACCGTTTGGAACCCCAGCTGAAGAGACGAGGTCACCTACAGGATGATGACAAGAGCAAGAGCCCATCAGATGCCAAAGTGGAAAAGAGTAGGCAACAGGGAAAGGCAACAGCAGTCAAAGCAAAAGCAGCCCCGAACCCCAAGAGCAGGCAGGCTGATGATGGTGATGATGCCAACAAGACAAAGCAAGCAGCAGGAAGCAGAAATGCAAAGTCACAAGCTAGCAACGGCACTGAGAAGCAATCACAGGAATCAGAACTTCAGCCAAAGGTGGCAAACAATACGCCACGTAAGCTTTCGAAGCCTAAGACAGCATGCAAGCAAGCAAAGAAGTCAGAATCATCCTCTGATGACGATGATGATGCAGCAGCACGCAAACAGCCTCCCCCAAGCACAGCAAGTGCAAAACAACAGCCCAAAAAGGATGAGCAGTCAGAACTTTCCAAGGATGTGCATGCTGCCCTGAACCGCCAGAACACCACATCTGACACTGGCAGTGCAAGCAAGAACACCGCATCTGACACTCACAGTGCAAGCAAAAGCAAGAGCAAAACTTCACAAGCACCACCAGGCAGCCCACCACCCCCAGACACTGACGATGAGAGCTCAGACGAAGAGGACGGCGAAGAACGAGAGAAAAGAATAGCCCTTGAACTTGCCAAGAAGGACGCTCGTGCCAGGTATATGAGATTCTACAGGTCTCTGAGAAGCACCTTGCCTTTAAAATGGGTTAGGGAGATATATACTTTTTTTACAAATGGCCAACTCAAGCCGAATAGGGTGTTAACATGCTCAGAAGAAATCATACGATTTGCAAGTGCTTGTCTTGGTTGTATTGGGCTACTTCAAACACAATCAGATTCCAACAGCCTTGTGCATTTGCCAGTTCAAAGTATAAAGTGCCAAGTTGGGTATGATGCTACAAGGTTATTCCATCTAACCCCTGTTTCTTTGTCCCACGCACTAGCCTAGGCAAACGGTCACCTCTCGAAGTGAGAAAAGCTGGGGTTGCGGCCTACAGACAGACAGACAAACTGCAACTCCTAATGGAGCAGTGGGTCGCCTGCAACGGCGAATGGGCTGCTTCAGAATTTGTCAAGACAGTAAAACTCAAACGGCGAAACAGGAAGGTGGGTACTCGCAAGTGGCTGACACAATCCGAAATAGCCCAAAAGTATGCGTCAGGTGCTATTGCACAGGCAATTTGCGCAGCAAAGATGGCAGACGAAGAAGTCTGCAAAGAACAAGTGAGATGTCACCCCGACATGAACGGAGTGGACCGGGATGAGCCTAGGTCAAATGGTACACCTTCATAATTTAGGAGGCCATTCTATCTATTCTTCAACCACAAAAATTGGATTTTACCTGACCTTGGGATTGGATGGGTCGTATGCATAATCTTGCGACAAATCTATTTATTTTGATTCTTAATCATAAAATCGTTTAGGATCTGGGGTTATCAATGCAAATGCAACAAATATCAGGAAATCAAAGTTTTACCTGACATTACCTACTTAGATGGGCACCCCAGTTTGCAAATATATTTTGACGGCATATTGATGACCCATTATTATTCCATAGAAGTGGTGAATACTTTACTAATTTACCGACTGGGACACACCCTTGAATGGAAACGTGTCATACAAGTGGTGTCAAGTTGGTATACTCTACAAAATGGACCCGAGGAATTATGACTGTTTTCCTGGTTTATATGAAAGTGGTCTTGTTTTGCTTGCTCAGGACACTCGACAATATCTCGTATGGGATCAAGATGCCGAAGAAGAAACTGAGGACTGTGTGGCAACTGACCTTTTTGCGGCGATTGACAAGGAGATGGAGAAGGGAACGGGGCATGGGTCAAACCAGAAGTTGAAGAAAAAGAAGTCTGGGAAAGGTGATAAGAAGAAGAAAAGCAAAGGTAAGAAAAAGAAAAGTTCATCCAGCCGCAGCAGCTCTTCCGGTGCAGAGTCCTCGTCTTCCTCTGGGTCGGATTCGTCCGCCTCCAGTTCTGACTCAGAGGCCCAGGGGTGGGGCATTTCCTAAATAAGTGTAGGCTATGTTTATCGTCTGTGAGTTTTTGATATTTCAACTGCAATTGCGATGAAGATTATATAACAATAAATACCATTCGTTTAGTCTAGCGGAAATCATCTTTGGGTGGGGGCCTAGCTCATGTCATGCCTGGCGTGAGGACAATGGGAAGAACAAAAAGAAAGGAAAAGGTGAGAGTAAGAAAAAGAACAAAGGTAAGAGCAAGGATCAGGAAGATCAAAAGAAGCCGAAGGAAGAAACCGAAAAGCAAAAAGTCAAGCGACTGGAGAAGGAAAAGAAAGATGCAGAGAGGAAGGAAAGCAAGGCAGTTACCGAGGCACACAAGAAGGAATGCAGAAAAGCGACCCAGGCTGTCTGGGAATTATCCAAAGAGAGTTTAGCCTCCCATTCATTAATGATTTTAATTTTCTGGTGCCCCTGGTGATATGTCTTATATTCGCCACACCTGGTATATGCAAACTCTCTTTGGATTAGGGGGGCCTCTGTTGTGAGTTTTGGTGCCGTTCAATATGGAGAAAAAATTAGGGAATCAAAGTATTATATACAAGTTGATTTCTTTTCTAGGGGTTATTGATGAGGTGCCCACTCCATTTTGCATCGAGGTCATCAACCAGCTGACCACAGCCATCCAAAAGGAAGCCGGCCTTGAAGATGGGAAGCTGAAAGACATGCAACAACCTTAGGATCCACGGGACGATTGGGAGAAGGTAAGATGTTCAATCAAAACCCAAAACATTTGATACCATTTGGATGATAGCATCGGTATGTAGCTTCTGGGTGTCATCAAGGAAAAACATTGAATCAACTTATTTTCTTTATATAAGATACTAAAACTGGGAATACTATTTGAATCCGAATTAATCATCCAAACCAGTTGGGCCTCCTTGGTACTAACCATTCTTTCACTCGTGGGCTTAGGGGCGACGCTGCAAAGAACGCCATCTTGGATGCAATCTCCCCACATGCAGCTAAAATGAAGTCTGCCCGGAAGAAAATCCAGAGTGTAATGGACTCAACTAAGGTCTGTCGCTTAGGTGTATTCAGATCCACTTTGATGTTAGCATGTTAAGTGGCAACTTTGGACCCAATTTAATTTACCCGCAACAATCGTCCAAAAAATGCCCAGGTGGGTCACGATTTGTGCCCCTTGGTGGCGGCCCATGAACATGGAGAACAAGTCAAGCGTGACTTCTTCACAATTATCGCTCAGTACAACCTGAAATGAGTATAGAATGGTTCACGGGATGATCAGGGAGTTGCGTGTTTCTTTGACATGCTTTAGAACCCTGATCCAACTGAGATTGGAACAGTTGCTCGCAATTGTTCGCGCAAGTTTTCCTCCTGGCACCGGGTGGAGCAAACTTTATATTGTATTAATTCATACTTTATCTTTCTTACAGCTGGTGAACACAAATGTTTCAATATATAAAATAGATCTAAAGAGCTTAGTTTTCAGACCTGTGTGTGATCATGCCAGGCGGGCTTGTGCCAATCTTTTTGGGGTCGTTTTCACACATATCAATGTGTAATTCTGAACAAAGTTTAGTCGCCTTGATCCCTTAAAACTTGGGGATGGTGGCAGTTCGATGTATGGGATGAAAAAGATGCTACTGTAGTGTCTCATGATGTCTCATGCCATCTCTCGTTTGTAGCTGAACATTCCTAGATCGAAGCATCACACACATTCTTTCCACATGATTACAGCCTATCTTATCACCAACGCAGGTGTGAATGCATCTGCTCCCAATGCTCTACGTGGCCATTGTGACGATGTAGCTGCAGGAGTCACTTGCTACAACAAGAGCCTAACCATATTGCTACAATAAGATCTCTTTCTGGCCATGAGTAATACTAGTAGTTTAGTAGTTAAAGACTGAATCAGATCCTTTGCCCCTGCCTGCCTCCCAAACCATCTTCCACATGTACATGTCTCCTTCTGCTGTGAAGTGAGGTTTCGTCGGTCACCAAAGCGATGAAACGAATTCGTGAACAGGTACAAGAGCCTTGGCACCGCAGCAGCGGGGATTCCGATTCCAAAAGCTCCACGTTACGGGTCACATTGTGTCCAGGGATGTATGTACATGTATAGCCTATCCAGGGATATCTATGGCAATCAATTTATATTTATTGATATCAATCCTATACATTTGAATCACTACAGTAGCCAGGTCCAACCTGAAGCCCAGGAAAGTGGTGATTGCGTGCATCATGATACCAGAGAACTTGGTGTTCGGTCGGGGAAGAACGACAGCAGAGATTTTTGGAAGTTCAACGATATTCCTGTGGTGCCTTGCCAAAGAAAAGGTGGTCATGATATTTTACTTCACTGTAAATTCAGATGATCATATGCGAATATATGGTACTTGCAACTTAGTAGTGGGAAGATCCACAAAAAGAAATACCATCACAATAATATATAATTATAAAAGATATAATAATATATAACCAGATATCGATATGGTTTGGGGATAACAGGTGGCAAGCAGGTATTTATCATTTTTTCACATATTTCCAAGGTTGGCGAAACAAATAGCCACTGGGGAAGCGCTGCATCAGCTATTTGATTCTCTTTGAACATCCCAATGAGGAAATCGAGACTGTTTGTGTACCTGTTGCTGATGATAAATCGCCCAGAAAGCTCAAGATGGAGAGCTTCCCGATTCTGTATCCCCACCGAGTCTTGACCTACCTGTTCAATGAGGTGGGGATCGAAATCCCCCCTCAGGATGTTGCAGAATACTGGCAACATTCCCGTGAGATGGGTGAGCCGTGGGCCATCCACAGCCCAGCGAGCTCCCAACACATACCTCTAGGTCTGCATGGAGATGGTGCCAGGCTGTTCACACAGTACAAATTTGAAAAGCAAATTGGGGTGGCATTCAACCTTCCTCTTTTCAAACCCAGAAGTGTTCGTCATTCGAGGTTTGTCTTGTTTACAATTCCCAATGCCAAGCTGTACAAAAACAGAACGATGAACCAAGTGTTCCGGGTCCTAACTTGGAGCTTTAATGCTGCCTTTCAAGGGCTAAATCCATCAACTGGACCAATGGGTGGGGCCTTGTGCGGTGAAGCGTTGCGAAGGGCAGGCACCCCTTTGACTGCTGGATTCCATAAGTTCTGCTTGTGTGAATTGCGTGGAGATTGGGAGTGGCATGTTTGCATATGGCGGCCGACATCAAGCTGGGTCTCGAAAAATGTGTGCTTTAAATGTGGTGCTCTATCTTCTGGGACCCCTGAGATGTTGTACCACAACACTGGTGCTCCTGGTGAGGTTCGGTGCAGGTGGATTGAGGAGGAATACACCCATGACCAATTCATAGCCAGGGGGCTGAAGGATACAAACCTTTGCAACTTGACACGGATGGGCTGAAGTAATTTTCACGTGTTTGTTTGGCACAAATTACAACACCAAAAAGCGAGCATATCTATGTTGCTTAAAGAACCAGTAGTATTGTTTATTTCTGGGTGCTATTCCAGGCCCTCTCTTGGGAATCACTGGATTCCATGTTGGTTGCATCCGTTGGTGTACTATGCACTGCTTGAATCTTGGCATCCTTTTCACCTCCAATGGCGGATCACTGAGACTAGGCTTAAGTAGTTCTATGCTTGCTGAGGCCCCCAACGGAACAAATCTGTTCTCGAACATTGGCTTCGCTGATTGATCTTCAATCCACTCATTTATCTTGATAATTGCCCCAGCAAGTAATAGATCTATACTATAGGTTTTATGTTTTTGTGGGTAAAGTGGATTGGAGTTCAATCAGCCGCTGTAGCTGCCACAGCTTGTCCTGATCGCTGATTGTGTTGGGGTTGCATCTCAGGATGCTTTTGCTGGAGGAACTGCAATACTTTGGGGCTGGAACTTTTGTTCAACAATTGGATAACGCCTACAAGAGTTTTCTGGACTTCTGCCGAATGAACAAAGTGAAGCACTCGCAGCCCCCCTTTGTACCCAAGATGGAAGCTTGTCACAAGTCACAGGTCAATATCGTTATTGCGAGCTGCTAGTAGGCCAGGCTGACTTGATGGTTTGGGCGCACATTAATTAACCCAAAAATGTGAGAAACAACAAGTTCAACCCTCTGGCCATAAAATGCTTTTCCAGGTCAATGTCAACCCAAGAAAATCTGATAATCTGTTTAAAGTCTCCACTCCACATCTTGTTTTTGAAACAATCTTGAGGTCACAAGGCCGAAGACTGGCGAAGTTGGGCTTATTGCAAAGGCCTGGAATGGAAGGTGCATCTTGAGCTGGCTCAACCACTGCCTACTGGATGTTGTGAACCAACACGGTGACAATGAGAAAGTTGTCATTACGAGTGCAGCCCTGACCCTTGTTATTGATATATTAAACCTGTATGTTTTTCCCCATTGATTTCAAAATAAGTACATAGCATGATCATTTAGTAGGATAATACATATATAAACCACGTATATAAATGATCGTTGGCCTTTTGAATTAGCTCCACCCAAGCAAGTCTCCTCAAGGAGTTCACTGGCCCAATTCTTCTTGCTGATGGAGTCGCACCCACGCAAGCTGATGCATGGCTCAATATAGGTTTTGAAGTGGTTTGAGAAAACCAAATTTGGATTCCCTGTGTTGTTACTGACCGATGGGTAGACTGACCAGTTTCCCAAGGCCAGTAGATGTGGCTGAATCGATGTACCACCATGGGATGAAATTTCTTCGATGCTACAAGTCCCTCTGTTGGATATGTGTCAGGCAGGATTTAAACACATGTATGCGTGCTTTCAGAACCGCTTTGGGTAGTAACAAATGTTTGGGATGATTGCCTAGCTGCCAGGGATGGCAAACCAGAATGGTTGATGAAACCCAAATACCATGCTCCTTGGTCGCTATCGGACGTTCCTGATTGCATACGGTCGTGATACCTTGAGCATCATTTGAAGTGTGTGAATCGGATGATCACATGACAATCAATACTACCACACGACAGTGTGGTAGAACCCCAAACTTTCCCAAAGATATGTCTTAGCAGCTTAGCGGTTTATTCTGCCATGTGATAATCCAAGTCAATGAGATAGTTTTGGACGCACTGTCCTGCATGTTCCGAGTTGATGGCTCATATTTGCCATGATCTTCGGAGGTTCAGCACCCTGGTTGGATCCAGAGTTCTTTTGTGCGAAGTGATCAAAATTGCTATCAGTGGTTCTGCTAAATCTGTTCTGCATTTTTTCAATACTAAGGAACTAATCCACGAATGGTACATACATTTACAGATGAGGATTGTATGCGTTGGATGAAAGGCCCCTTGCCTCAAAAAAATCATTGATCATCATCTCCAAAGACCTGTACCTTATCATTATCATCATATCAATCACTGATTCTGATTGTTGACAACCAAGGAGTTGCTCAAAGAGCTCATCCCAATAGAAGAGAACGCTGGATTCTCAAATGTACCAAGTTGAGGCAAGGAACTTGCCTGGCCAATAATTGGTTTATTTACTTATTGGATATTGCCTCATCCTATTTGTCTACCATCAAAGGGTTATGATCATATTTGCAGGTTGCGATCTATGAAGCACCGTGTTGCGCAGCTACTTATCTGAATAATTCTGAGTTATAATCTTTTTGTGCACCTGTGACCATGATATTAGTATAATCAACCCTGCTGAGGTTAAACAAGACCTCAAGACGGTAGCGAGCGGAGGAAAAAAGGAAGGTGTACCAATCACATGGGCTGAAATGGTCTTTGCCAAAGACCATTAGACATGTGGGGGAAATGGTCTTTACAACAAACGCCATTTTGAAAATAGCTCTTGGACTTTAGGGGTATATATATATATGGCTTCAAAGAGGGAGCACCAAGGAAAAACATGGAAAAACAACGTAAGGATCTTAAGGGTTATTGTTTGTTGGAGACTTCGACATCTAGAGCCATTCAAGTGGACATCCAGTTTCAATGGACATCTCCCCATCTAAACTGAACCCATCTGGCAACATGGGGTACACCTCAAAATGACCATATATTCATGGACACAATCATCATTAACCATCAAGTTTTGAGTTTTCCCCTACCCTCCGGTAAACCTTAGCTATGGAAACCAGCCCATAGCTATAGATCATTTACCTACCATATATGGTTCATATATTTTTCATGGTGATTTTCCAGAGTTTAGACGTGACTTTATGTGACTTTACTCTACTCATCTTTTTTCAGAGAAACCCCAAGAATTTCTGATTTTCTCAGGGGCCAAATCAGGGGCTAAATCAGGGGCTAAGGCACCACATCGAAATCAAAGAGGCTTCCCTTGGCCGGCGCCTTCGATGCCTTCGGTTCGTTCGCCTTGGCCTCCTTGGCCTCGGTGGCCTAAGGCGGACGCGATTCTCGGCATTGATGTCATGGGGCATGTGATGTGTATATTACCATCATTTACCATAAATATGTGTACATATATGTTATGAATATAATACACGTTATGAATATGATTGAATGTACATATATAATACACGTTATGAATATGATTGAATGTACATATATAATACACGTTATGAATATGATTGAATGTTTATTAAACGTATATTTTGAGGTAATGTATACCCTGATTCAATGATATGAGATGATTGGAGGCCTTTTCCCTGTCTGTCAATCTGTGAGAGAGAAGCAAGTTACAGTCATTACAATTAGATGATTACTTTGCGGGACAACAACAGCTTGCCTTCTGTCTGGTTTCGTTTGGTCCTGGTCCTCCAAGCACTCTTTCGAGATCCGGACTGTTTGTTTCTTCTTCTGCAACAAACCAGTCAGGGGATCTGCCATGGCTGTTTTGCCAGCTCAAGCTGTTTTCAACAGTTGAATATAGTTGAATCCTGCAGGGTACTTTGAAAACGCTTCAACTTTGAAAACAAACGCCAAGCGGAATCAAATATGTTGACATCAACAAGCCATCATCTACAACTGCTACAAGAATCCTACAGTTTTTATTTTCAAGAGAGGAGCAGCTGCTGTTCGAGGATTTGAGCTCCATGCAAAGCGACAGTTGAACATGTTGGATGTCTTTAAGTCTTCCGTCCAACGATTTCAGCGATTTCAGAGCAGCTGCGGCAGAAATCATGTTCCAGACCTCTGTCCATAAAGGTCCTCTGAATCCGGTCATGACTTCTCACAAGATCGGCTAGCCAATCATCCAATCAGCAAGAAAACAGGGTCCGCAGCAGGTCGTTTTTGTCGTCTATCGATGATCTCAGCGCAGCTCCCTCTTTAAATAACCGATGAGCTCGCTGGGCATATACCTCAAATTTCATGTTCACATTGGAGGTTCTTAAAAGGGAATCCCAAAACCAAGAGTTGTTCTATTAAAAATGGCCTGTAAAAACATGCAAAAACATGTAAACACGGCCAAGAAGCATTAAACACAACTATGATCTTGGGGTTTTAAGAAGCATCCTCACTGCGCAGTGAATGAAGAAACAGTTTCAAAAGAAACTAGATTAGATCCTCCTATGGCTAACGCATTGGCCAAAGGAAGCGAGGGAAGGCAATGATGACCCAAAAGAGGGCAAAGCAACTCAAACGGCCATTGGTATCTCGAACCATCTGACCATCTTTGGTGACAGAATGCGCCTGGTCTACAAATACAGTACCAAATGGTTGGTATTTGTCAAAATCGGGTACTCAAAAATCTGAATTCTGCCACGAAAACTGAGAAAACACAGCAATACTAAGGGTTTCCCTACCGGGTTTTAACATCTCGACCCCCTCATCATGCCGTCGCCCCGTGTCTAGGTCTAGCTACCTTTGATCTGGCTGCAGGGCCAACTGGAGGGCAACCAACTCGCCCATCTCGGCCAGTGTCAAATACCTACAGCTGGTGAAACCAAAGCCCATTGATGACGTGGCTCTGAGTTAAAATAAAGGAACTTCCTTCAAATATGGACAGGTACCCTCTGGTAATTTAACATAGCTATGGAAAATCACCATTTTTAATGGGAAAATCCACTATAAATGGCCATTTTCAATAGCTATGTTAAATTACCAGAGGGTAACACTAAAACATAATGATACTTGGAACTTGGAACAAACATCCCATATTTTCGAAGGGCATAAAAAAAGGCAGATTTAGCTAAAGCATGACAGTTGGCACACTCATTGCATGCTACTTCCCAAGGTCAGATTTTTTGTGTCAGCCACCAGGATAGCGTGCGGACAAGGAGTTGGATCTTTTTGATATCTTTGATCCTCAAAATGCTATCCCCAAAACTACGGCAGACTTGGTATCAGGAAACAATTTAAAACATCAACTTCAAAAACTCCACATTCCCATGATATAACCGGTTTCCAGATCTAGTTTCCCATATCATATTTCCTTAAATGAAAGAACAGTGGCCAAACAGCCAACCAACCAACCAAACAACCCACCAAGCCATCAAGCCATCAAGCGAAGCCTCTAAAGCCACTAAAGCCATACCAAGATGCTGCACATATCTGGGATACAATTTCAACTCCATGGGATGAACTCGCGCCGGTTCCGCTAGGCCATTCAGTTGCAACAAATATTCCTGGCGCCCAACTGGTTGATGTCCCTTAAATTCCACTGGTTGGTTGATGAAAAAAGAGGGGTTAGAAGAAACCCCTTTAACAACAGGTTTCTATGATGATAGATGGGATTAACCAGCTCCCGGCCCCTCTATTTTTACCAAAAGGACATTATTGGCGCCCAACTCATTCTGCAGTCATAGCCGCTGGTGCATCTTGTGCATTTCGTTCCAGTTACTTCTAAATTGTCATGTGAAAACTCAACTCTCAATGATTCTCTGAGGTTCGAACATTTTTATGCATAAATGGCTTTGTCTGAAAATCGTGTACCATGTGTACCTCTAAATCCATGGGATCATATGGTATCATTATTTTCCCCATTCACATAGCCATGAACAAAGCCATCTGGGGGATAAATCACCACATCCGCCTCACCGTTGGCGTCGGGAAGCACTTTGCCCAGGCGCCCTTTGAATGTCTCATTTTCACCTCTGGTTCTGGCCATGGTTTTAATATATAGGTTAAGCTGGCAGTATATCCCTAGTTTTGGAAACTGATCTATGATTGTAAATGGAAGTGAATGGATGATCCAATTGAGGAGTCTGAAAAGTTGCCAGGTTTTACACTTCCATCACCGATTGGGTTTGTCTGAAATGGTGCCTCATAAATTCCGTGGTGGCCAATCATCAGTTTCCCTGTGAAAAAGGGAAAATCCACCCATTTTGGGACAACTCCAAAGCCAAGCATCAGATTGTTGAATACACATATATATATATATGTATATATATATACATATTATATATATAATATGTGCAATCTATGTGTCATTACATATTCCTATCACGTTAAAATACGTCAAATATCCTTGAAAGAAAAACGTTGGAAAAAAAATCCTCGCAGCTTTCTCCCGTTTCAAATTGCCAGGTGGCAAGAGTCGTCCACCTCCACATAGGTCCCAGGCTCCAGGGTCTTAAAAATCTGCGCCTCGCAATCTGCAGGTCCCAGCGGGTCCCAGGATCGTCCCAGGCTGATGCAGAACTTCGTCTAAAGTCGTGACAAAGTGACTAGTGAGTACAGTGATAATTAGTAAAAAAATCCAATCTACCCTCTGGTAAACTAACATAGCTATGGAAAATCACCATTTTCAATGGGTAAATCCACTATTTCTATGGCCATTTTCAATAGCTTTTTGTATGTTTACCAGAGGGTAATTCTAGTTCTAAATGATGATCTACTGGAGACCTGGTCCAAGCTGCCAACAACGAGAATGGATTATGGTATAATCTCATCCACGTCTCCTCGAGATATGCAGCCCAACTTAAATCATTATATAACATAAATTTGTTGCTGCATTGCAGGTAGACAAAGAACGATGGAGATAAGTTGAACATGCGACACTGTACAGCTTAATTACATGTTTTTTGGGTGCAGATCGTTGAGGAGGTTGATATGGCCTTACCTCAGTCCCTCATCAGCTACAAATAAAAAGAGCCGCGGCACTAAGGTCTGTAGATTTGCCATGGGTCAAAGTCTGCCTCGTTCCTTAACCTATCACCGAAGACCTAGCCATTCCCAGATTCTGTGCCTCCGTCGCGGGAACTACAATGCAAGCGAGGTACTCGGAAAAATGAAGCAATGGATTGCAACCCATCCTGATCAGGCTGTCGTTTTCAGCTGTTGCTCAAACTGAGAGTAACGCTTCAAGCATAAATGCTGGTTTATGTGTCAATAAGAAGCTTTCGTTGATATTGCTTCCGGTCCATTGCATTTCCTTCCCTCTTCTGTAGTCTTCTGCAAAATATGCACACACTCAAGTTCCACCTGTCTGAGTCTAGCTTAACCTCCTAGGGTTGTAAATGTGTGTAATTTGGAATATGTGGCACTGAATAGCTAGTCAAGTCTCACTTGGCCAAAAAAAAAGTCAAGAAAAAAGTCCGCTTGCAGGTGTCTTTTCAACTTAAAAGCGTTGCCCAAACCCCACAAAAAGCCATTATATATAGAGCCCTGGCCCTAACCCATATTCGTGGGTCTCTCCAACTCGCAGTAGCCAGAAACTTCCGGAGCATGCATGTCACTAGGAAATTACAGGAAACCCTGGGTTTTCCGTGGTTTCTTCCAACAAAATGATGGTCTCCAACAACCAACGAATCCCAAAGATCGCCTTCCACGACTGCACCGTGTCCAGGGCATCTTCCGAGGGCGAACGCAGTCGCAGCCACGAGGTGGTTTTCTCACCATCAACGAAGCTAGGCAAAGGAGTGGCAGTGACATAACCTGCACGACACGCCGTGACAGGCATCAAGGCACAGGTACGAAAAACCAAAGGGAATCTGGATGGAATCTGGCAATATTAGTATATAGGGAAATATCTACTGGGACATACAATGACATATATATATATATACACCATAATATACAATAATGAAACAATTAAGCAAGTATTTTTATATAAGTACCACCATGTTTATCTCATTTCTAATGGTGAACAGGATACTCAACTATCAAGAGTTTGGGGTACCCTATTTTCAAACAAACCCAGTTGCTGTCACAGTTTTTCGTCACAAATTGTTGTCAAAGGTATTGATGATATTGATGTTTGTTGCCAAAGATTCTCCTTGCTTATTCCTTGTTTCTTGCTTCTTGTTGAAAAACATGGGAAGCAAATGTTCATCCAGCGCATTTACCCTCTGGCAATTTAACATAGCTATTGAAAATGGCCATTTATAGTGGATTTTCCCATTAAACATGGTGATTTTCCATAGTTATGCTAGTTTACCAGAGGGTAGGTAGTTCATCCAGTTTTTTGTGAAACATGAAAAATTGCACCAAAAACGAAGGCTCTAAACAGCCAGCAGTGCTGCACCAATGATTCTCCGGGTATATCTTGCGCCTGGGTGCCCTTGGTAGAAGCAGCGCAGGTGGCGAATTTCTTGCACCGAGGTGAACTTTGCATCATTTGGAACGTAGTCCATGGTTTCAGGATGCACCATAAATGTCCTTGGCAACTTGGGCGCTTTTAGTTGAGTTTGGTCTTTGAGAAGCGTCAGCCTGAGGGTAATATGTACAATGATTGAACACCGGAAGAAAAATCGCTGGAAAATACTAAACTTGACCTCATCCTCAGAAGTCTGCATTCTATTGATTTCTTCCTCGAAGCAAAAGAAAAACAGACAATAAGTCGGCAGCTGCCCTGTCTCCTAAGAAGGACAAGGCTCTGCTGTCTGTGGTAAGGTGTCATCAGGTAGCAGGGAGTGATAAAGGAATCCTTGGATTCAAGCATCAGACTTGAACTCCCCGCAGCCAAGAAAACAAAAGTAAGCACCCGAATGAGGTCCTACAGGCTATTTGGAACCAAGGTCGGCAATTTAAGAGGCTGCGGTATGCCATAAATGCAGCATATATAAGCACATGGGATTTGGTTTTAATGTTGTAGCAATGCAGCTTCATACACGAACATACAAGTTTTAAAAGTACGATTGGGTACCAAAATTCAATGTCATGTCAACAATCGATCAACGCAATGAATATAATGCAGGGTTCTTCTTGCCAACACGAAAAGTTGGGCCAAACGAAGATGCGGAGTTTCCAGAAATACAAATCCTTTCAAAACAACAGACATGTTCATATGGTCCCTGCTCCCCCATCACCAATCCCATCCAATCCCTTTTGGGGATGACAAAAGACGATCCTTCTGATGGCTTAAGGTCCTAAATCATGACCGATGACCAGCCTCTGAGCTTTTCACCCGGTGACTTCTATGCAGCTTGGCTTCCAGTGTCAACTCCTTCCCCGGCAAAGTGAAACCTCTACTGCGGCAGAAGGTACCATACGCGGGACCGCACAAGTCAATGTGAACCTGGTCTCGGCGACGGCAAATTGCAACGCCATGGATCTGTTCAGGAATTGGGGATGCTGAAAAAAAACACCAATTTCATCGATAAGATCTGAAATTGTAATCTTTAATGACAACATGATGAGAAGGTGTTGGATTTTGGGGTAAGTGCAGAATTCTTGGAACCCGTACAGAGTACAAAAAGCAGCTCCACTGTCAGTCCAAAAAGCTCCACTGTCATGTCACAAGAATCCTGTCCTACTGTGTGCTACTGCAACCAATGTCAGTGTATACAGATACATGTGTATATAATTGTATATATATATATTCATATATTCTAAACAAATAAGATATGTTTTGTAGTGAGTACCTCCAAAGACTCGTTAGTCGGTTCTCTGGGAGATGCCAGCAAGTGGCCATGTACGCACCATACACACCTTGGACAATGGCTGCAATCCACCTTGCCAGCAAAACACAGCCGATTTTCGCGCTGGTCTTGGGAATTTCAATAAAAACCTGACCTTCCTGGCGTCACATGGTCGCTGTACCCGGCAAAGTGCAACATGATACTCATGAAACCATATTTTTTTTTCACCTTGATTCTGGATGATTCTGGTAGCATCTTTTGTATCCTTTGTATGTCCCCCACAAAACCCGCCCCTCACATCCCTCACCAGTGTGGGACGGTCTCCGTCAGAGAAGTCTCCCCGAAACGTTCCACAAAGTTGTCCCTAAGCTCCTCCGTGAAGGTTGGAGAAACGCCTGCGCGCCAGACCAGCGTGTGAGTTGAGGTCCACGCTTCAAACATCTTGATCACTTACTAATACAGTACATAAGATACATAAGTATATTGCCAATCAAGTATTCAGCATCTCCCATTGAGCAAAACCGGCTTCTAGCCTGTCAAATGCCCAGACTTTTAACGGCTACACGGCTACATCAACAAACAAGTCCTTTTCACAACAGCTAGCTTTCACCTGGCCTTTGTGGAAAAACAATTAAACAAAAGGCTTGTTTGGAGACGAGTTTGAAGCATTTTGTGTCACCTGGGTCCATATTAGCCTTTCACCAGCCCCTCCAGTGATTGCTATGTCCTCCACTCATACTTTTCTGAGGGTAGCAAATACAAACAAACCATGCCCAAACTCTTGAGTCATCTCCATCCACTGGGTGCTTTTGGACAGTTTTAGATGGCTGAAAAAGTAGTGATTCGGTCCTGAGCTGAGCTTCCATTGTGAAAAACCTGGCAAACTGGCAACCAAGGTACCCCAGCCCAATCTTTCTTGAACTTCTGGCCCCAACAACTTCAAGGCCAACTGCGATGCTGGGGTGCTGAACCTCAGATGGTCCATCTTTGTTGCTCCAAAGAACGAGAAGCAATCTCAAAAATTGTTTTCGAACATGTCTTAAAAAGAACACAACCATTGCGAAGTAATATGAGTGTAAAATTACCCCAAAAAAATCACATCGACCGTCCCGAGTATGTAGTAGAACTCCACTTCGAAACCGGAGCAACCATCACGGCGAAGCATTCAAACTCACAACTCACTTTGCACATATATCGTCATATATCATATATAATATCAACCCTGGATTAATAAACCCCTAGGCCGTTTAATTGGGGGGGTACCATTTAAGTATTAGATTATGACTATTGGGGGAGTACCCCCCTAATTAATAAACCATGGTTTATTAAGCCGGGGTTGACATTATATATAAAAAAATACACATTTTGATCGGTTCCTTGCCAAGAAACATAGAAACTCTTGCACCGGATTCTGGTTCCAGCAACTCCTGAGTCAGCTCAAGACGAACGGTGAAAAAGTGACAGTGGCTGACGCATGATGCTGTGATTGCTGTTGATAACATACAGACATATGTAAACATTATATGTGTATATATGATTTGATTTGATTAGATATTATATTCTATGTATATATATATCTTTTATGTTATATTATTATATCATTATATCATATTAGGAACAAAGAAACTACCTGGATGGCCATGAACCTGGAAGGTCCGGTCAAGATACCACTGCTGTTGGCAAGAGGTCGCCCACATCCATGGTGGGTGTGTTGAGCACCACGATGTTGGTCACAGGTCCTCAAGCCCCATGGCCCCATGGCCCCATGGTAACCCATGGTCCCATGGCCCCATGGCCCCATGGCCCCATGGCCCATGGCCGGTGCGACTGGCTTCAGCTGGGCTGCGGGATTCATGTGTGAGGATGATGCCATAGTCGGAGAGCTCTTTTAATGTCAACCTTGAGTCGACTCAGCCTTTATGGAAAGGCTGAGAGAAAGAATATGAACAAGTGCAGTGGAAAGATGGAACCGTCATGACGATTTGCGTGCCTGTCTGAAGATCCAACTGTTCAGCCCAGAACAGTCATCCAGTTGCTAGAACTGCTTGCGAAAATAATAACGATCATGATCATCATCGATTATGTACAAGAGGCGTGTGTGTGTGTGTGTGTGCGCGCCAACAGGTTTTGCCGGCAAAAGAATGTACGATGCGTTTCAAAACAGATTGGACACGCAAATTATACCAAGATATACCAAGAATATGTGATGTTTTTGGGTCAGATTCTCACTTAAAATGTTCATTGCTGAGTGAAAAACAGAAAATGATGCGATGCCTTACCATCTGGTTATTTAACATAGCCATGGAAAATCACCATTTGTATTAGGTAAACAAGTAAACCATCTATAAATGGGCCATCTATACCATGGCTATATTAAATAACCAGAATCACAACCTTTCTCTGGCGCTGGCTTCGCTGCCCAAGAAACGCCAGGGCCATGGTCCAGGTGTCGCACGAAGAACTGCAAACCTCATAGGTTTTGTGACCGGAAGTTCAGTAGCAGTTTCCTCTATGGAAGAACCTCTGATCAACTCCTGATTTTGCATTCTAATTCATATACAATATAATACAAATGTAATATAATATAATATGATTGTAATATAAATGTAATATAATGTAATATAATAGTATATATTATAATATCATAGAGTATAACAATATAACATATTTTAATATCATAGAGTATAATTTAATATCATAGAGTATAACAATAACACACAATATCATATATATAGTATGATTTAATATCATAGAGTATAACAATATAACATAATTTAATATCATAGAGTATAATTTAATATCATAGAGTATAACAATAACACATAATATCATATATATATAGTATGATTTAATATAATAGAGTATAACAATATAACATAACATCATATATAGTATAATATAACATTATATACATAATACAATACACTACAATACAACATATAATATAATGAAATATACCTCCTGTCTTTAGAAATTTGCGTGAAGACTATTGCCTGATATTGTCTGACTATGTCTGACTGCTGGAAAGTAGATGATGCAGTTGCCCCTGAATTGCGGCAAGACTTGGCATACAAAGCGTTGTGTGATTATTTCACATGTTCGGAGTTGTGGAGAACTGCTTTTTTCGCATATCACACCAATAGTATAATACTTGTCCCACAAGTTACTGGTCGAACATTTCCAAGACTGATGTCCGTCCACCTTTTTGGATCTGTTTCTGTGTGCAATTTGGTGAGAAGACTGTGCCCCAAATTGCTATTGCTTCTCACTTCATTATCCTCATTTTTCACCATCAAAATTGTGAAAAAATGGGGTCAACCCATGTAAATCCTTCATCTCTGCCCAAACAATGCCAGGGGGGGTTAAAGCTGAGGACCCCAAGTCCTGTGTTGGGGCCACGGAAATCCGAAAAAAATCCGTGCCAAACAGCAATGGCCCAGTAGAGATAGTGCTGTCGATTGGAATCCAAAGAGCAATCACTGGGCCAGAAATCCTCCAGACCTGACAGGAGCTGGGACTGGGGACGTGGCTATTTCTGTACTGCAGTTTTCCATCCTATTCCTCCCATGAAATACTGATTGATTCAAAGGTACTCCTAGTATGAGTGATAATATGAGTGATAAGTTATATACAAGTTAAAACAACCCCCATACCGTACCATACCTTTCTGGCCTACTTGTTGTGGTAGCCATGCGGCACAAGTCAGTCAAGCCACTCACAGCTGTCTCGCTGGGAGCGATCTCCAGAAGGGTCTCATTGCAAACCTGCGGTCTATCATCATGTTCTGCCAGTATCTGCCAGTGACTGGGGGGAAACCATGTTGATACCACATTTCTATCCATTTCTGGATAAACCCAAAAATCAATGGGAATTCCAGGATCCTAAAATGGAGGTACGTTAGTACCATTTTTCAGGCCATATTTTGTGGGGACATTTCTGGATAAACCCAAAAATAATCATATGAAAGACCGGTCATATCTCTCATGCACTGTATCTCCAGTGGCATGGTCGCCTGTACTATCACAGACGAGTCTGTGAGTTGTCGATGCCGGCATACGACTCACATGGCTGGCATGACGACTAAAAACGTTAGCAGTATATTCATATATTCCAGCGGGTACGGTATTTCGCTTGGAAGTTGAAAATAGCACGATTTTACAAAGTGCAAGAATATGCGAAAACACGAGTTCCCAACCACTGAACATAGGGGGCTTCCACCTTCTAAATCTTGGGCTCGCCTTTGTAACCCGAAATCTGGGCCCTGTCTGCACTGTCGGAGCCACGTTGAGAGCAACAGCAAGGATGTCCTCAACAGCAAGGTCTGTAGATCCACGGATGCGCATAAAGATCAATCGAACCACTTAGTATACCCCATAGGATCCATGTATGGTATATATATGCTAACATTGGGGGTATATTGATGGTAAATGTTACCATATATAGCATACATGGATCCTATGGGTACAATCAAACCATCAAACCAGTTCTTTGAATCTAGTCAAGAAACGGTTTTGTAGAATCTTTGCAAACCAGTCTCGAGACAAGAGATCATGAACTTTGGATCAAAAGAAGTCCAAAATCGCATATTTCAGGCTAGTGCCAGTGCCGTTTTCCTCGGCTCGACCTACCCCCAAAGGTGCAAGGGCAACCGCTCAACCGCCGGGTATTCCAGTGCCAAGAGTCCATTTGTGCCACTTGTGAGGCCGCCTTGCGCAGAAACTCCTGTCGATGCCCTGTGTCTAAAATCTGTCATCGCTGGCCGAAAAAAATCAACCAGCTAAAGAGCTGTTCCCATATTATGTTCCTAGTTCCGATGTGTTCCCTAGTATTCGATGGCAATAATTGCCATAAATTGGATGGCCCACCCCCACTTTCACAGGTCTTTCATTGAAGGCCTTCATCAATATAAAAATCATTCGCTGTGCTTCAAGCTTGAAGCTTGAGACAAAAAAAACAATAAAACGATCGGATTACAACATAATCCAAGACCGGGTATAATGGGTATATATATATATATACATTCACTGAAAAATATAACTACCAGTATAAAAATGTAGAAAAAATGATCATAACTAGCCATGTAGCCATGTTTTCTCTTTCTTTTAGTTAGTAAACTCAGTAACTCCACATGTTTTTGATCCCCTCCTTGGTGCAGCTCCCTGGAACGGCACCCGAAGATCGGCGGCGCACCGTGCGCTGCAGCAACTCCCGGCCCTCAGCAATGCCAAGCGGTAGATCAACAACTATAGACAATCTCATGAAACATCATGAAACATCATGGAATGTCCTGCAATACCATGACATATCATGAAACATCATGAAACATCATGAAACATCATGAAATGTCCTGCAATACCATGACATATCATGAAACATCATGAAACATCATGAAATGACCTGCAATACCATGACATATCATGAAATATCATGAAACATCATGGAATGTCCTGCAATACCATGACATATCATGACATATCATGAAACATCATGGAATGTCCTGCAATACCATGACATATCATGAAACATCATGAAACATCATGAAACATCATGGAATGTCCTGCAATACCATGACATATAATGAAATATCATGAAACATCATGAAATGTCCTGAAAATCCATGACATATAATGAAATATCATGAATCATCATGAGATGTCCTTCAATACCATGACATATCATGACATATCATGAAACATCATGAGATGTCCTGCAATACCATGACATATCATGACATATCATGAATCATCATGAAATGTCCTGCAATACCACGACATATAATGAAATATCATCAAACATCATGAAATGTCCTGCAATACCATGACATATCATGACATATCATGAAACATCATGAGATGTCCTGCAATACCATGTCAGATCATGAAACATCATGAAATGTCCTGCAATACCATGACATATCATCAAATATCATGAATCATCATGAGATGTCCTGCAATACCATGACATATCATGAAACATCATGAGATGTCCTGAAATACCATGACATATCATGAAATATCACGAAACATCATGAGATGTCCTGAAATACCATGACATATCATGAAGTGTCATGAAACATCATGAAATGTCCTGAAAATCCATGACATATAATGAAATATCATGAATCATCATGAGATGTCCTGCAATACCATGACATATCATGAAATATCATGAAACATCATGAGATGTCCTGCAATACCATGACATATCATGACATATCATGAATCATCATGAAATGTCCTGCAATACCATGACATATCATGAAATATCATCAAACATCATGAAATGTCCTGCAATACCATGACATATCATGAAATATCATGAAACATCATGAGATGTCCTGCAATACCATGACATATCATGAAATATCATGAGATGTCCAGAAATACCATGACATATCATGAAATATCATGAAACATCATGAGATGTCCTGAAATACCATGACATATAATGAAATATCATGAAACATCATGAAAAGTCCTGAAATACCATGACATATAATGAAATATCATGAATCATCATGAGATGTCCTGCAATACCATGACATATCATGACATATCATGAAACATCATGAGATGTCCTGCAATACCATGACATATCATGAAATATCATGAATCATCATGAAATGTCCTGCAATACCATGACATATCATGAAATATTATGAAACATCATGAAATGCCCTGCAATACCATGACATATCATGAAATATCATGAAACATCATGAGATGTCCTGCAATACCATGACATATAATGAAATATCATGAAATGTCCTGCAATACCATGACATATCATGAAATATCATGAATCATCAAAACATGTCCTGCAATACCATGACATACCATGAAATATCATGAAACATCATGAAATGTCCTGCAATACCATGACATATCATGAAATATCATGAATCATCATGAGATGTCCTGAAATACCATGACATATCATGAAGTGTCATGAAACATCATGACATGTCCTGCAATACCATAAAACAGTCATAGTCAGAAGTATAAAACATCCTGACATATCATGGAAAAGCAAACATGATATAATGACATATCGTGAACCATCACGAAATGTCATGAAATATCATGACATACCATGACATATCATAAAACGTCATGACATATCATGAATGTCATGAAGCATCATACAATGTCATGGAATATCGAAGTATCAATTGTGCCATACTGTTGTCAGGAAGCATTTCATGTATTTCAGGTATCTCAAGTGCATGACATTTCTGAGGCTAATTTTTATGTGTTTGGAGATCACAAACTACTCCTGTGAGCGAATAGATCTGGGTCAAAATCGCCCCAGAAAAGTTGAATGGTCTCCTTTGGTCTCCTTGGAGGGTCCTGTGGGCGTCCTGCGGCGTCCTGACCCACGACTCACATCCGATCCAAGCAGCGCCCGAGTTGATGCTCACCCAGCCCTGCAGAGGTCCTGAACCTTCTAACAGCCTCAGCTGAGACACTTTTGACACATGCGTATACCACAAAAGGCATACAGTGATTGTAATTATCATTATATAATTATTACTTATTAATATGTGTTTTAAATATACATTCTGATCATTGTGGTGATTCTCGAATACTACTGTAATATTGCCATGATTATTGTCATTATATTATTATCGTAGTATCATCATGTATGACCACTTATTTATGATCCTACTACATCATCTGGGGATAGCCAGCAATGTTTGGATGGTTTTGTTGCTTTGGAAGAAGCCAAATGTGAGCCCCAAAGATGTATTCTGTGACTAAATGTTCTGGGAAAAATCTGTCCAGTTAGGACGATTGATTTTAAGGGCTCAAGGCGCAAAATCATGCCGGATCACGCGAGATCTGACAAGTCCTGAACTGACCTGCTGAGTGATAAAAGTATATAAAAGTCGAGAATTCACACAGCTCTTTCCATACAACATCTTGGGATAGAATAGACCCCCTTAGCAGAATAATTAAAAATTGATCCGAAAACTATTTATTCCAAATCAATTATTCCTGATGTGAAATGCCCCCCTGGAATAATTACCCAAGGTAGGGGCCATCCAAAAAGCAAAGGCACTTGTAGTGAAGACGATCCCCATCGAGTTCGATCTGCTCAACGACTGAGCCTGCACGGATCAGTGTCATCACTGCCCAACCCGGTTCGAATCTGTATCGCAAAAAACAAAGGAAAGGTCCCCGGTGTGAAACATATAATGAACGATCAGCACGTGAATCCCATATTTCAGTTATAACAATATGCATATATATATATTATACAGTAAATCTTATACAGTTATACAACACAGTTATACATGGAAAAAAACATACATTGTAAACTACCACAATCGTATGGTCGAAGAATCCCAGCCTGTGCGTAATCGTTGCGACTCTCGTTGCGAACCTTCGCTCAGCTTGAAACAAGGTGCATGAATACCACGTTGGCCACTGGCACCTACTGGCCCTGCTTTCCTGCTAAAATAACAAGGCTCAACAACAATATACTATGCGTGAAAATGTGTGAAATATATATATAATAATAATAATAACATATATATATATATATCATAATCGTGAGGAATGCGTGTATGTGTGTGTATATATATACTAATGATCTAATGTATATTATACATACATATACATATATACTCAATATATATATAGACATCAGCAACACGCTCAGCCTGTTTTTACGCTGCGGCAAGGCGTGTGAGTGCCAGGGCCATGGGTTGACATTTCACCCAGGCTTCATGCAGCCTGCTTTTAACAGACAGGCATCTGAATTCCACGGTCCTCTCAGAACCGGCTAGCCCAAACTGGGCCCACAAGGCCTACCGCCTCGGCAAGCCAGGCTTTGACCATCCTGGCACCCTCCCGCAAGGAGTGACACAGCCGTCAGCTGGCTAGGGCGGGTGAGGTAGGGAGCCAGAACTTGCGGAGAGCTCCATGCTGTGCTATAGAATCGTACATGGTCGCTACAACATGGGTCATTAAATGTCCCCATTGAACATCACCCAACCATTAGGTATATGGTCTATAATGGCTACTATAAGGTGATTTCCAATATTCCCAAAATGGGACAGTTACCAACCCCTGCACAAGCTCCCATTTAACTCAGTCCTATAGACATCAGCAACACGCTCAGCCTGTTTTTACGCTGCGGCAAGGCGTGTGAGTGCCAGGGCCATGGGTTGACATTTCACCCAGGCTTCATGCAGCCTGCTTTTAACAGACAGGCATCTGAATTCCACGGTCCTCTCAGAACCGGCTAGCCCAAACTGGGCCCACAAGGCCTACCGCCTCGGCAAGCCAGGCTTTGACCATCCTGGCACCCTCCCAATCTAAGCACTTCAGCCTTGATCGGGGCAAGAAAATGGCACTCACACTCCCATTTTCAGCGCTGAAAGGTGCGCCTCTGACGAAGTTGCTCGCAAAAAGATGTCATAGAGGCCTGGAAATGATCTACTAAGTGGGCACTTTTGGGGGTCAACTGCAGTTGAACCAGCGCCGCACGGCCTGAATCCAGGTACTGACGAGCAGTTTTAATGCTCTGCCAGCGGCCGGCTATCAGCAGGGCGTCAAAATTACCCCCATGGGCGAAAGAGTGGGAGGCACTGCCTCGGCGCAAGCTGTACCCAGTGAAGTTGTGGCGCTGAAGGTGCAAAAAGCTGATTAAATGCTGCAGCCGGGACCTAAATTGGTTGGGTGTCAGGTTTGCCAGCGTAGGACCCGAGGCTGTAGCTAAAACGTGCAAAGTGAAACGCGCCAACAAAGGGTCATTCACGGCCACACTCTCATCTTTATTTTTGGAAGTCTTGGTGGCCGGCAATGCAAGGATAATCTGCCCCAAATGAATATTGACTTGGATCTGTTGAGGTCGAAGGGCAGTGATCTCTCCTGTGCGTAAAAACGCTGTGAAACCAAGTAAAATAAGCAGCCCGAGCGCTTCCTCTTGAATGGAGACTGCTACCCCAGCCAAGGCAAGAGCCACATTTGCAGGCATAGGAACCGCCTGCCGTGGTACGTGAACACTTTTCCAGTTGGTAAAAAATTGCCGGGCTGTAGGGATTTTATACCGCAAAGGCGGGTAGAAACGGCGAAGAGCACTCAAAGTGTGCCCAGCATAGGTGATGTTAATGTCGTCCAACCACAGATGCTCTAGGTACCTTGCCAAAAGGTCATCCAAATGGGTTGCCTTGGCAGGGATAGGAAGGTCCTCATCATCAAGCCATTGGAAAAAGCCCAGCAAGGCCTTTTTGTAGCTGCGCAGTGTCCTCACGTGCAACCCAACAAATCGTAAAGAGTGGCTAGTCATGCTCGACGACTTGGCCGATCTGCAAAGTTCCATGCTGAGAGGGTCCAGATGGGAAGCACGTAGAGGTCGCCCATCAACTGAAGGGCAGTAAGCCTGCGCATAAGCCTGTTCAGGCGTTTTGAAGGGCTGCGCCCTTTTCCAATGGCATAGAAGAGCACCTGGGAATCGACGACAATCATCAATCTAACTTGCTTGACCTCATCTTCACGTAGAAGACGGCGAACGTGCGCGATTAGCGCTTGTGTTTCAAGCTCATTTATGTGAGCTTCCTGTTTCCACCGAAAGGTAAGCGTGTCACGCCATAGCCAGCGGTATGCTGGGTAGGGGACCATCTCTCGTTGTGCCAGATGTTCCACGGCGAACCGGATGTCCGTGCCCCGATAGTGGCCATTTCTCAGCAGGTGGTATCGGGCTTTGTTTTCCTGACCTGCGACCAGACCCTGTTCCATTTCGAACACTCGTGCTGCCACCTTGAGGCGTAGCTCCTCATCTTGGAAACGCCCGTACTTCTCCAACTCTGCTGCGAGCTGAGACACACGGAAGGGTTCATCCTCCGGCCACTGTTGGTTCTGTTGAAAGTCTGCTTTGATGGCCCGCGCATACGCCTCTACCAGGCCTGGAGGGTATTCAGCTTCGTCCTCCGTTGGGAATCGAAGGGTGCCCTGGTCATCAAAATAGGGCTGGTAGTCATGGACCAGTCCATGCTCACATTCGGGCTTATGCAATGCCTCGAATAGGGCCCGGCTGTTGGTCAAGAGGGCGGTCCATTTCTGGCGATGGCCTCCGAAGCAGCAGTTGCTGAAAGTGGCCATGTACACCCCTGGTAGAGCTGCTAGCTCCGTCGTAGCAGTCATATACCAGATGAAACTCCTCCAAGGGTGTTCTAAGGAGAAGATGCGCCCTTGGTGATGGCGCTCAGTGCAGCGTTTGATGCTGCGAAGGGCCATCCTGTTCCCGTGCCGCACTTGGACAGCTGCTTGCCCTCTCACATTTGGAAAGCCCATGACATGGCGTTCATCTCGCAGGGCAGGGGGTCCTTTGTACCACTGCCCATCAATGCAAAACGGCCTTCCCCTGGCACGACTGAAGCTCTTGCAGTCGGGTGCATGATGCTCCACATCGGCGTCCTGCGCATCCAGGTCATCCCAAATAGCTCTGCCGCTTTGGGAGAAGATGTCCATCAAAGGACTGACTTTTACATCGAAGGGACGCGCCACGTTAAAACCTTCTTGCAACATGGCTTTTGTCAAGGGGCTTTGCTCACCAGACCATCGCTCACTGAAAAGCGGCAGGGGCTTTGCGGCATTCTCACAGCTGGAACGGTGCTCCAAGAAGCATTCCATTGAGCACAGCCGCGTTCCACAGTGCAAGGGGCATTCAACATCCTCACCGCTGGCCATCAGCTCTGTCATGTCCCCACGACACTGCCCACAGGCCAGTTGCTTGGGGTTGGGCACATCACGAGGTCTTTTCAATTGCCCCGCTATGCAAGAGCCTGCTCCTGTGGGGGATGCATCGGTGGCACTGAGTTTGCCATACACGCAGGCTCTCACGTTTGTGAAGGCCAGCGGCAGCAGTGCCAACATTGAGACCAGCTCATCAACCTGGGTCGCTGTCGGTTTGCCTTCTTTCCAGTGGCGTACGAACTGGAATAACTCATCCATCACAGCCAGAAGTGGCCGGCGAAAGGCAGCTGCAAAGACCAAGCGGCCAATGGTGCTTGCCACTTCTCGTGGGTTCCAGTTTGCTTGGCTCAGAAGATAGGCCGCCATTCCGACGTCCCACTTCATCCTGGTTTCCTGCAGCATAAAGACTCCTTCTTCGGAGCGCAGTTCTCCTCCCTGCAGGGAGCCCTTCAGTGACCCTGCCAACGACTTTGCTGCGTTCGTTGGTAACCCCTTTCTGATACACGCCTCCTTGAACCGCGTGTGTTCCTCGGAGTTCTCTCCGGCACAAAGTTTTGCTAAAGGTTTGGAAACTATCCGCAACTGATCCACCGAATCCAAGTAGAGCAACAGTCTGTCGCCCGCCGGTAGCTCCATCCATTTTTGAACTTCCGCTTCAAGGGGCAGACCAGCTTCTTCGAAGGCTAGGTGTCTGATGGCTGCTTGGACAATGCCAACTGCTGAAATCCAGCCCATTGGGACTGTCCGCAGGGAAACATAAGTTGGAGCGTCACCCTCAAGTCCCAGGGCATGCGCGGGTACCTGTTTTTCGTAGCAGAAGAGCCCTCTCCATCCAATGGGCATTTCAAAGAGGTTGAAAGCCGATGCCATATCTTCCGAGTCTATGACGACCTCGGCCTCCTCTGGCACAAACAAAAGGTTGACTTGCCCAACATAGGGGAGGGTGTCTTCGTCCCCTGTGATCTTTTTGCTGACACTATTCAAAGGGCAGAAGATCGAGATAAACCGCTGGAGGCAGCGGTCTCCTTTGAGCTTCTGTACTGCCCCAGCTCCATTCAAGATCTTCCTCCCCGTGGGATCCGTCAGCACTTCTGCCTCAGGGCAGGCTTGAAAAAGACCCCGACGATACCCCTCTTCAACCAGCTTGCGCCATGTCTCATCAGAGGCTCTGACGTAGCTCTTTGGGATATCCTTTGGCCATTCTTCCGGTGGGAGTATGCTTTGCATGGGGGCCTTAAGATGAGCAAGAGTATCACCCTTCAGGAAATCCTCCAAGGGGGCTACGGCGGCCTGGTCTCTGGTAGGCCAACACTCAACCACCTTTTCAAAGTCCAACTCTTCCATTACAACATAGGTGGTACCATCATAGTTGTGGCCATGCCTCCCCAGTTCCTCTCTGATCTCATCGGGTGAGGGGACTATGGTGTCCTTCTCCAACAAACGCTCGATCGCAGGCTTGAGGTGGTTTTCCAACAAGAACATCTGCTTACTCGAGAGGTCTCGGCGATGCCTCAAGTATTTGGGGCTAGAGAAGCCTGAGCAGTACTGGTAATTGAAGGCCCCACAGATCAACAATAGCCAGTCTTTCAGCCCTTCTCGCCATTGGCGGCAACCCTGGATAGCGGTCAGGCTGATTGGTAGGACTTCGTTGTGAGCAGCGGGCTCACCTTGGGCCGCAGCGTGGGAATCAAACGCTTTCCAAAATTTCCCCAGTGGGGTCCTCAACTGTGACATCAAGTCAACCATAACTGTCCCCATCTGCGAGAAGCGGATCTGGCCTTCCAGCGCTGACCGCAGCAGTTCACTGTTGTGGGTCTGGCCCGGGATGACTTGAGAGCTGTTCTCTTCTTCCTCACAAAGTGCCGGTTCCGCCTCAGGGAAATCATCCTCTGGAGCTTGCTGGGATCTGGCAAGGGGTTCAGGAAGCGTCCTTCTTCTCACCTCGAGGGTGGCCTCCTCTCTCAGGCTCCTTTCTTGTCCACCGCCTCCTGAGCCGGTGTCTTCCATTTCCCTCGTCCTTTCACCTTGCCTGACCCCTTTCCTTCCTTCCCTTTGTTGGCGGTGTGCCCTTCCTCCCAACGACTCGTTGCTTGGGGCTTTCCTTTGAACTTCTCCTCCAGCTCCAGCTCCTTGCTCATCATATGTTCTTCTCCTTTGTCTGTCATCCCCGTGTCCTCTGCCACTAGTTCCAAAAACTTGGCCTTTTTCCATGAGTTCGCGTCTTGGACTGACTGCTCCAAGGCTTTTAGCCTTTGTGCTTGTATGTCTGCTGCGTGTGACCCCCTGCCGCTAGGCAGTCCAGGATCTCGGCCCCCACTCGCATTTCCCGTTGCGTTCGGGCTGTCCACCTGTCCTTCAACGAGGGCGCCAGTATTGTCAGGAAGTAGTTGACGGCGCACGGTCGGACCGCCTTCGTCTTTTGTCCGGTTGCGTTTATCGCCCCCTCGAACCTTGTTGCCCGCTCCATCTTCTCCAGGAGTCGGGTTGCCAGCCGGCCCGGATACCGCTGAGCATACCTCTGCAGCCTCAGATGCAGGGTCAGGCCCGAGGGGGCTTTGCGAAAAGACTGGCTTGAACCAGTCGAACTGCTCCCTTCGCTGTCTTCACTCCCGCTCTTTCCTTTTGGGAGGCGACTTGTTTCCCCTACTCCGAAGGGTCCTTTGTCGCGATCCAATTTGTTTCTTTTACTTCTCTTCTTCTTCTTGTGCGGGCTTGCATGTCTGCCTCGCTTCTTGTCCTTGTGGCCTTTCTTTTTCTTTTGGTCAGACTCGGACTCAGTCCGGCAATGCCTCTTCTTTCGTTTGGATCGCTTGGAACTTGTATCACTCATAGACTCATCAGATGAGCCCTTCTCTGACGACTCCTCCACTGAGCCCCAATCGGCTCCCATCTCATTCGTGTCTCCGGTACCCAGCCCGCCTTTGTCGAAGGGCTTGACTTTCTTTTTGCTCCTGCCACGGTCCTTCGCTGAGGCCGGCTGTTTCCTCTTGCCTGCTTTTTCAGGCTCATCCTCCTCGCGGAGCTCCTTCTTAAGCTCCTTCAATTTCTTTTCCAGCTCAGTGATCTTAGTCACCTTAGCAGCTCTGTCTCTATCCTTCGGTTCCTTTTCTTTGGGACTGGCCGGCTTCTCATCCGGTGATCTCTCCCTTTTCTTTTTCAGGTCCAGGACGCCCTGACGTGACCAAGGGAGGCCAGAGTCAGCTGGCTTGCCAGCTGCATCATCTCCTTGTTTGAGGTATCGTGTGATCAGGCCTTTTGCTTCTCGGTTGTATCCTTCAGGCGCTTGCCCAGCCAGAAGTTCAGCCTCTTTCCAAACTCTCCACTGGCCCAGGTGCACCGTTATGCTATGCTGGCCTGTCGCGACGCATTCGCCCGGCGAGGTCTTGCAAAGGTGGTATGACCCATCCACTGTGGTCACCCTTCCTTTCTTTGTCTCCGTCCAGGACCTGTACTCCTTGTCAGAAGCGCTGATGTAGTCACCCAGGAAAAATCGCCCTAAGGCTCCTGGGGCATAGATCCGCTTCACACGGACGAGGACTGTGCCTCGCGGATCTCCATCGTCAGTATACGCTTTGCCCTCCAAGATGAGATCCTTGGTGGGCGCAGCGATACTGCCTTTTCCTCCTACCCACCGACCAGGCATCGCCCTGGTAGGTGGGTTTTTACTCGGGGTTAACCCGGCACCAATCACGGGTGTCCCCCCCGGCAAGGCTCTAAAGCCAGAACTTGCGGAGAGCTCCATGCTGTGCTATAGAATCGTACATGGTCGCTACAAGCTCCCATTTAACTCAGTCCTATATAATATTACAGGGGTGGTATTGGGCATTGGTTTGTGCGCCTGTTTTTTTTCGGGCCCTTAGCTGTGAATGCATGTGAATCCAGTCATTTGCGCTCTCCAGCATCAACTTCCCTCTGGTAATTTAACATAGCTATTGAAAATTGCCATTTATAGTTGATTTTCCCATTAAAAATAGTGATTTTCCATAGTTATGTTAGTTTACCAGAGGGTATATCATATGCACAGATGATTGAGTGGCGGACAACATTACTTGCTGCCCGCAATGTAGATGGCCAAAGGGGGTGGTCCCCTATCGGTTGTGAAGGTTTGTACTTCCATGCTGTAAAAAATACGGTATCGGTAAGTGGGTGGTCCCTATGGGTTGTGAATATTTTCGCACAAATTTGAACATCCCAAGTCCACTCCCCACTACTTTAGTCTTCCGCTAATTTTGTCGGTTACTGATGACGTGCATACAAATCTGTGTAGAGAGAGAGAGAGATACTATTCAACTAGTGAATACATGTATAATATATGAATATCTATACATATCTATACATATAGTACTATTTTATGCTGTATATCCTGTACATGGCATATGAATGCATATTTTTTTCGAGCATGTCCATCTGCGGCGTAGAGATTCATGATGATTCATGATGATTCATGGATTTCATGGGCTGGTTCTGTCCCATGTTCTGAGTCTGGACCCCCCAGTCGTCGCACCTAAGGCTTTCGCAGTGCGCACCAGCAAACCACCAGAGAGGGCACCGCCAATCACTTCCCACGAAGTCATGGCCTGAGGAGATCAAAAACTGCTGCGTTTTACGTAGGGAATGAATGGGAATGATGGGAAATGGGATGATTATTACTAGTGCTTATGGATGATTATGGGGATTATTATTAATAGATATTAATAGATGTTAATAATGATGAAATGGATCATTCCCGAAAATTCCCTACGTTTAGCACCAGTAAGTCATCTGTGAAGAATCTCTGGTTTTGGACCCGACTGAGATTCAAGTCCAGGCGTCTCAGCATGTGTCGGCCTTCGCGACGAATCTGCAGCTTGTCGCCATGGAAAACGGAGATAATCGGACCTCTTCGCTGTATTTTGTTCTGCTGGCTGTGGTTGATATGGATGTCCACAGAATCCGCATTGAGCCTGCTACATGGACCATCAAAAGAATGTCCGGGCGCCGGTCAAAAACTCATTGGCCTCCAGTCGGAATACTCACTAGCCTCTCTGCCACCCAGCCAAGGCAGGCTTGAAAATGCTTGTGTGTCAAATATTCCAAAGTTCAAAATGCAAAAACACGTGTTCCAGGGAACAAGATCTGACGAGCATGTGTGTTTGGTTTCGTGATCATGGCAGGACTATTGCTGCCAATTGTGCTTCTTTCACATGCTTTGTTGTCTTGATATGCTTCCTTGCTCCCTGAATTCCTGCCTTGAACCAAACGGGTAAAATATAGCAAGCTTCTCCGACAGTCTACTACTCCATGGCCCCAAATCCACTCATTGTATGTTATTCTATCCATGGCAAACATTCTCAGCCAGTTTCTGTTCTTCTCACCTGATGACAGTCACTCCTCGGTTCGAACTAAGGCCCCAACGGCTGACACCATGGCGGCACCACCTGTGATCTGTCAACATTGTTTACCCAACTTAACTTAACCAAAAGATCCACACAAGTTTGCTGCAACCTTCAAATATACAAGGAACCCGTGGTCCTCACATGTTTTCACGCTCCCTGCGATTACAGTAGGGTTTCCTACAAGCTGTGCGTAAAGAAAATGTTTGGAGCACATGCTCTGCCGCTGGTCAAGCTGAAACATGTTCACTTCTTTAGAGCCGGAAGAAATGCAGCAGCGAAACGTGCCAAATCAAACAGACCAGACAACAAAAAGTCAAGCATATCAGCATATCATTCAAGTCTCCTGATAACACCCATGCCTAGTGTATGGGGCTTGTCTCAAACTTGGACCCCATTTCATTCCACGTCATTTTCTCCATGTTTAATGCCCATTCTAGGGCGTCTATGGTATGCCGCATTTTAGACACACCCATCTATCCCACACTGTTGGTAATATCCATCTGCGATCCACAGTATATTCCAGATCATTCCTGATTCCCTGGGTACCTGGCATTTGGACAAAACGTGTATTATATATATATATATCTATCATATTGTTGGTTGGTTGTATCCCATTATCAATTATGTCCCACTGTACACCATTTGGTACCCACTACATGATTGGCCATCCTGAATGTTTGTCATGAATCCCAAACGTCCAGAACTGCCCATTATATATTTATATTATATATATATATCATTCTATATCTATATTATTGATATATATATATTTATTATTTATATATTTATTTATCTATTCCCATTCTGTCCATGACCATTGAACATGAACAGCTCCACCTCGCTAAAGCCGGGCCCCCTAAAAAGTCCTGAAAGACCTGGATCAGCTTCACCTCGAAGATGAAAAAAACATGTTGATTTATGGTGATTTAACCGACAAGAATCAAGGGATTATTTAAATAACAAAGATGGAATAAAGATGGTGATTTTTTCATGGTGATATAGTATGATATAGTTGTGGTTTTCCATGATGGTATAAAAATGTATAAAATGCTAAAAACCCAACTGGTGTCATCAAACATGGCTGGGATTGGAGGTTGATAGCTGGGAAAATTATCGAACTGATTGGGCTTTTGCATAGGAACCCAAACCATGCGACTGATTATCGGAGGGTACCCAGCATTCTGCAGACAGATAACCAAGCCACATTGGGTGAAACCAAGCATTTCGAGGGGATATCATGGATATCAACCAGATAGCATTCGGATGGGATTTTGAATTTATCCTTCCATCTAACAAAGACCCTGCCATTCATTTGGGGGTTTGAAGAATACGTTCCAAGAAAAAATGGTGATTCCCAGGGTTGATCTTAGTTCAGCGGCAGATGGAAGATCAGAGTGGAAATTCATGGGGCCAAAAATAGGGAATTGAACCACCCAAATTCTGGTCATTGATCATTAAACAATGCGAAAACAAAGTTTCCAACCATGGGATTTTGGGGCACCCTAGTTTCAGACCAAGCCACATGTACATCCAAAATCAACTTAAAATTTTGCTGCTGTTTTTCAGCTCTTTGTCTGGTGGATTTACTCTGCAAAGTGCCTTCCCTATCCTTCCCTTGTCCAAAAAACTGCGAAAATTGTCTGCAGAAAACGAACTGTCTGCGGGCCAAGTCAAGATATCTGAATGCCAAAAACATGAAACACTTGAGAATTTGTAGGAAAAACAAATCGAACACAGCTTTCAATTTGACCCTGCTGTCCCGCCGTTCGTTCAACTTCTGGGTCAGCTCTGTGATCGAGTGGCGATGTTGGGATGGTTCAAGCCCTTCATGATGTCCAACTGCACAAGTTCACCAGCCAGGTGTGTTCTCACAAAACTGGTCTCTGGTCTCGAAAATCTGCTGATGTTCAGTGATGCGAATCTGACAACAGTGACACTTTGTGACATTGTCTCTACTGAAGTCTTTCAATTTGGCACGACAAAAAACAAGATAAATACAAGAAAAGGCTGCACTGAATTGACAAACAAGTGCTAAACATGTGCCTGTAGTCAAACTCCGAACTTGCAGAAATTTGGTCTGTTCTTTCCTTCACTTCTCGAAACTTACAGGAATTCAACAGCCATCAAACGTTTAAAGATCCGAAGGTGTGAAATGTGCCTCGTCTCTGGCGGCTTGGTAAACCTGCACAGCAGCTCCATTGATCTCTGTTACCATTTAGTCTTCATTGCATGGTAAACATGGTGAATGTAAGCGAAGGAAGTTTAGAAGTCAAACTTCCGACAATATGGACAGATGAAAAGCAGAGATGGGAAGAGGCAGAGAGAAGAGAAGAGTAGAAGCGAGCAGATCAGAGAAGAGAAAGAGTCAGAAGAAAGAAGATGCAGATGCGCGAAAAGGTAGGAAAGTCGCGAAACACTGTGTTTTTCAAATGATTTGTGGCTCCGGAGGGTCGAAAAGTAGGCTCGCTAAAGCGGCGGGTGCGGAGCCAGCTGGCCAGATGAGAAATGAAAAACTGCACGCCGTTGTGGCGCGAAGCACATTTCGAAGTCAAAATGTACAAAACACACCACGTACGGACCACTTTTGGACGTTCAGAGCTCGTTTCGCGTGGCAGGCGCAAGGGATTGTGCACCTTCTCAAAAGTGAGCAAAACGTGAAGGTTTTGTAGCATTGCCACAAACGATGGCAAGCGTGAGACATCTGAAGAGGGTCTGCAAAGATGCATTTTCCGTGGCAGGCGCCATACAAGAGACATTTTCATCGGAGCTGTTCGGAGGTCAGGGCGCTGATTTCCTGAGATGGGTTGCATTTTGGAGCATCAGATCTTCAGGTTTGCTGAGATGATTTCGCCTGACAGGCGCAGCACTTCGCATGATCTGGCATCACTGTTTCGTGGCAGGCGCAATAGTTTAGACAGATGGACTGGAAAAATCGCAAAATGCATTGGCACGAGGCCGTCAGCTCTGCAGTCAACTTTCCATTTTTGAAGGAAGTCTCGCAGAATTGCTTCGTTTTTGACGTTGTTAAGTTCAAAAATTGAGGAAGTCTCGCAGAATTGCTTCGTTTTTGATGTGGTCAACTTCAAAAAATGAGGAAGTCTCGCAGAATTGCTTCGTTTTTGATGTGGTCAACTTCAAAAAATGAGGAAGTCTCGCAGAAGTGCTGCGTTTTTGATGTTGTCAACTTGGAAAAATGAAGAAGTCTCGTAGAATAGCCAGGTTTTCAAGCTTGCAGATAGACAGGTAGATATATAGACAGACAGACAGACAGATAGATAGGTAGATAGGTAGATAGGTAGATAGGTAGAGACCTAGATACACAGTTAGATAGACAGATGAGATAGATAGATAGATAGATAGATAGAATGGATGGATGGATGGATGGGTGGATGGATGGATAGATAGATAGATAGAAAGATAGATAGATCGGTAGGTAGGTAGGTAGGTAGAGAGAGAGAAAAAGAGAGAGAAAGATGGGAGACATCAATCACCTTTCGATCCATCAGTGACTTCGCTCTGCCATCAATGATTCACAACAACCAAATCTCTCCTATAGGTTTCCTATTTTTGAAACTTCCGCCACCGCCTTGTGCGGTACTACTGGTATGGTTTCATGATGTCTCATATCATCATGTTAGCTAAATCATCTGTAAATGGGCCATTTTGTATTGCAAACGATTCACGTTGACGGAGCTGGAGCTACATCCCATGTGCCATGCTCAGTTTACATGGCAAAACATGGCAAATGTGGTCATTCCATATTGATTAATCCTGGCTGTAGATTAGATATATCAATCCCTATGAAAATGGATGCCTCCCTGGGAAAATCCACCATACTGCCAGGGCATCTGCCACGGGATAAGGCGCACCTGCATGGCCTTCGCCTGGCTACTCTCCATGTCTACCACCTTCACGGCGTAGGCCTAGCGCAGGCCAAATTATCGGAGATTTGGGTCTTCTGCAGTATCTATACATGTTATCATATAAACATACAATCACATCATCATACATTGATATTTAATACATCTATATATAATGTGATATTATGTGATTGTAGATGTGAGATTTGTGTGCGGTGATATAGATATGATATATATATATGTATATATATATATTGTAGTTTATTATTTTTATACATGCCATACGATGACATTACATGACATAACTTGAGATGACATTACATAACTTGACATGACATGACATGACATACAAAAAACTTGCAGTACACTACATCCATATACATCCATACAGTTTTATATATTTTGAATGTACGTATGTATAGACAACACCAGGTAGGCGTGAAACAACACTCGATTCAGCCTGAGTTGGATCATCACGTCGAGTGCAAAGCAACACCTGGAGTTCCAGTGGCCGGGCACCAAGGCTCTTTATATTATACAATCAATATAATATAATTATAGTCAATATACAATATAATTATCTGGTTGGTGGTTTTAACCATCTTGAAAAATATTAGTCAATGGGAAGGAGTATCCCATATATTATGGAAAATATAAAATGTTTGAAACCACCAACCAGTAATATAATTATATATAGTATATAGTCAATATATATATATATTATACACTTATGATCAATTATGTATATAATCAATAAACATCAATATACATCAATATACAGGTTGATGATGCGGGTGATGACTTTGCTGTCGATTCTCTTGGAACTCTTGTCGCTGGCAGTTCTGGGTCCATGTATTAAGTCTCTTGGATTGTATCCTGACAAAAAACCGCTCGATAAGGCATCTCACAATTTTCTTACCCTCTGGTAATTTAACATAGCTAATTATTGAAAATGGCGATTTATAGTGGATCTACCCATTGAAAATGGTGATTTTCCATAGTTATGTTAGTTTACCAGAGGGTACAGCCCATCAAATGTTCTACCTGGCCGAAATTGCCGCTGCCAATTTCATCTCCCAAATCGAAGACATCGAAGACCGTAACTTTGGACTTGGTCCGGCGCAGGAACTGGCTAGGCACAGAAACCCCAGGAAAACAAACGGCGCAAGATTCTGGAAGAGTTTTTCACTGTCTCAACCTTTTTGGGAATGTTTTGAGGGGTACAAGTAGTTTGGGAAAAACAAGCTTCAGCATAAGGCTATATTATGTTAGTATTTCTCTGGGAATTTTTTCTAAAGCAGTACTGACATAGCCAAGCAAACTCAGGCAATCGCGCGGCTGAACCAAGCTCCCATGAGTCGCGTCGCGGCAATAGGGCTACACCTTCACTCCATTCACTGTTGGAATTTCTCACAGCTTAGGGCTGTTGTCGAAAAATTATGAAACATTATGAAAGTTGAAACGTTGCAAATGAGCAAACCAATCAAACCAATGTCCCAAAACAATTGGGCAACAGGCAAACCAAAGAAAATACCGCCAGCGTTTTTCAGAATTGCAAAAACCGCAGTGCTCTGATCAGGAGTGAAGGTGTCGCTAACACTTTTGGGCGAAGTGTGGAGAGCTGCGTTGCATGTTGTAACTGGCTTGATGTGGCTTGAAAAATGATCTTTATCGTTTGTGTATCTCACAGATCACTCAAGTGGGATATTCTGCTGATGGATGTGTCAAAGAAGTTTTGGTCGGGGCTGATCTTCTGCTTGTGAATCAGCGGGTCAATTTCAATGGCTGTTTCACAGGGTACTGCAACATCTGCTACTGTGCGTGTATTGATTCTACTCCACGAGCCACCCCTGCGGGTCACACAGACATCCTGATCCAAAGACGAATTTGCCCGAGGGTCACGAGTGCAAACACACCCAGGAGGGTCCCGAAAAGGCATGAAAAGCAAAGACTGGGATTTGTTGGAGGTTAGTGCAACATGGTTTCGCACCATGAGCAGCCCCCATCAGCACATTTTAACTTTGCCAACAGCAAAGAGTTGAAGAAAAACACTGAAGACTGACAGCCTGAAGTTCAGAGCTTCTGACAGCAAAGCATGGCTCTAAAACCAGCATTCCAGACTCTTGTCTATACACTTCAGAGAGGTAAGGCTCAACATTTCTGCGTTTTTTTCTTTCAATGTTAAAACCTGCGTGATCAGGCCTTTGTGTCTCCAATCTTTCCGCAATTTCTTAACTTTGAAATCACCGCGGTGCACAGCGCTCACTGAGCAGTGCTATCCTTGGGTCCAAAGATATCCCAAGGACCTCAGAAGAATTCGGATAGGAAACGACTTTCTCTCCACTTTCATCAAATGCGCTCAATACAGAGGACATTATTACCTGACTCAGTGTGGATATCGACTACCAGTAATTATGGATCATTGGTACCCTCTGGTAATTTAACATACGAGTAGCTATTGAAAATGGCCATTTATAGTGAGTTTTCCCATTAAAAATGGTGATTTTCCATAGTGATGTTAATTTACCAGAGGGTATCCAAGCATCGACTAATGCTAGCATCCCGGGGGTCTACAGACTCAGCGTCCGAGAGCCCCGGCTTTACATGCGAGCAAAACCGGTAGAAGAATCCTGCGACGTGCGGAGGTCTACCATGGTTTAGCCATAGAAATGATTGCTGCATCCTTGAATCATCTCATATCATCTCTGTATATCTTACGATCTGCACACTGGTCCTGGACTAAATGTATCTAAGTCTGGGTCATGTTTTTCTAAACCATGGTAAACCCAATGCCATAGACCAGCCAATTCACCAATTTGGGGTGTTACATCCCAAAGCCACATCCAGGGCCTCGCTGTTTGCGGTTCGATTTCTGGTGCGTTCCGCCTGTGGGATGACCATGCCTTTACAATACATATCTTTTCAGGGAAATGAACATGAAATAACGAGCCAGTTGAGGTTCCATCAGGTTCCATCACTCTTTTGCACAAGCGTCGAGAGTTGTAACTGAAGAAGTTCAGCCATGGAAACATTCGAATTTCATGGAATTTCCGCCTCTAAAGAAACACCATTGGTCTCGGGCAGGAGCATATAAACAAAGACCTCACAGGGCATCACATGCCCAACGACTGTCCGTTCCAGTTTGCATCTCCTTCAGCACGTGCAGCATAGGCATCACCGTCTCTGAAACCAAGGAAACGACCAGGGCGATGATGCAAAAGAACATGTACATGCCTCAATCTGCTGCACAAGATTGGCATACCTAGCCGATGACCACTACTGGTATAACATAACCTGATACGGCATAATTGAAGGGCATGCTGCAGCATGCTCTATCATACCATACCGTGTCATAAGATTCATTGCTAACTTGTCTGGGCAAAGATTCTAGTAATAGTGTCATATCATTTGAGAGAGACCAAAATGCCACTCTTGTCCTCATGTTCAGTAACTTCATATGATCCCCACCAATAAATTAATTATCGGTCACATCTACAAAAACACCACAAAGGTACCGAGACTACAGGGCCTTCAGATTCGCCTGCAGATCTTTGACGATCTTTGGGACAATCATAATCTATCAAACTGCAGTTGGCAGTTTCCAAATTTCCGCATTGCAAAGAAACCTCCCTGCACTTTCAAGAACGGAACACACTGCGTCAAAACTCCTCTGCTGTGTGCGGTATCCCCCAAGTGGCGGGCCAAAAATTAAGGCTTGTCCAAATGGCCCAGGGAGCGCCTTGACTGATCTCATCTGTCTCTGTCTCTGTCTCTGTTAGATCTGCCGGCCTTCACCAAGACCTTGAAGCTCAACGAAACGCCGAAGTTGGAAAGCCAATTCATGGCCCAACAGAAAGCAACTCCTCCAATGGCTGCTAGATGCTGCCAAGGCGTGACTGGCATGACGCATCTATATATACTGTGTTTTGCATGATCTGGTTCTTTAGGAGTTAATGATCAGATTGCTTTGTTGCCACGTATTTTTCTTGATGTTGTCTCTTGATATGTCAACATACTTTTAAGACTAGTTACCATAAAATGCTACAAGGACACACAAACAATCATACAGCTTACATATCAATCATATATAATCATATCACCTGAAAAAGTCAGGATCAACATTAACAGTCCCAGTTTAACATGTCATGTGACTTCTGAAGGCGGCCCGTCTCCGAAAAACCCGGCCCTCCCCGTCTCCAGCGGCGCGCGCTTCTTGCGCGAAGAACTCCGAGGTCATGACGTAGGGCAAACTCAGCCGGTTCACCCATGGTGGATATAGGGATGATGAAACCACCCATGACTAGGACCATAAAAAATGGGATGTTTAATATATGTTAATATTAAAAATGGGATGGTAATGATGAATGTATCAATATCGCATTGACTTTCTAAAGGATTCTAAAGGAATGAATATGGGGTTGGTTCATGTACGGCCCTGCCTGCCTGCCTTCCTGCCTGCATGTATGTGTATCTTACTTTAAATACATATCAACGTAAGTAGATTATTCAAATGTCACTTTTGGGTGATCCTTTATCTCTATAGACAATTGAGCAATCAGACTAGTGCCTCCCTGAGAGGTCAACGGGCCCAGGGATAGAGAGAAGGCAGCGCGGTAGATCAACATGCTGCTCAACGCAAACCACGCCTCAACGTTGCGAAGGCGATGATTTGGGAACGAGGTATGATGGTAAAATATAAGATGATCATTCCAATGGTTATAACATGTTATAACATGTTATAACCTTGATAAACAAATTCATTCTCCAAATTCATGGTATCCCAGTGGTAAGTCATTTCTGCAGGTCGGCCAGTGAGGTTGTTTTGAGGTCTGAGCTGATTTTCATTAAGCATCACTGGCCGAGTGAAATCATATGACACAAATCAATCACTAGTGTGCCTGGCAGCGAGAAGGAAACACACGTTTCGCCGGGCGTTTTGTCCTTCAATGTTTTTTTGTAGATCAGCTGCAAGATCAGGATATCCCAATCGATTCCACCATTATGACGGATCCCCGGCATGCTATTGAACCACTTCACTAAACGATTTCCGGAGATTTCACCTGCAACTGTCTCACGAAGCCGAGAGCCCTTGCCGCCACACCAACGGATACTCCAAAGCCACGCAGTAGAGAGCCCAAGACGATCAACCTCAGGTGATCCAACCCTGACCAGCGGCAAATTTTTCATCATTCTACATCCGTTTTTTCCATGTTTTTTCCCAGTAGAAGAAAGGTGGCCACACAAGCAGAACACCGGGTCATCACGGGTCCTCACGGGTCATCATGCCTCAATGAGTTGCCCTTCCCCTCGGACTGGGGCATTCACATCAAGCCAACCAACATTCCAATGATGCCAATGGCTGCCAATGGTCGACGACCCATCTTGTCAATGTACCTGATTAAAGCCTCAGGCCATGAAGATACTTCTTGCAGCTGCGTTTTGACACTCCGTGCACATTCCATGACTGTGAGCGCCCGAAGAACAACCAAGAGAGCAATAAATATCATCACCTTTTCTGGAAATTTAATGAAATTTAGACTTTATTTTTCCACAAGAACATTTCCACAAGAACAAAGTGATACATACCCCACCAACTCCTGGTTTCCGGTTTCCGCCATGAAACGTAGCCCTATCTGTGCCCTGAGTTTCTCACGGCAGTGGCCAGAAGCTGGATGCAGCTTACGATGGCTGCAGAGATCATGGCATAGCTTCCAAAGCCAGCGTCGTCCAGAATCCTCTGGGACGCGACAAGCCAAGAAAGACAGGCCGAAGATCCACCACAACCACCACAACCACCAGGACCGGACTAGTCTTGCAAGGAGGAAAGGGGCAACGGCCAGATGTGGCTTGACTCTGCTTCCAAGGAACCCCTGTGCAAAGTAAATAAAAACGTTGATGCCGGAGACCTGGCTGGTGGACAAGTGCGCATTGAAAACTGCAAGACTACTGCCAGTTTGGTGGGAGAAAGAGGATAATTACAATTAATTATATAATATTATATATAAGTCTTCAATATTACTCTCAACACTTCGCAGATATGGCAACTCTCCAGCAAGACATCCAGATTCTCCGTCATCTAGTAGCAACCACAGTAGCTTTAGCCAATGGCCCTTGCGCTTTGCCGCTTTGCGGGCGCCTGCTGCAGTACATTGATGCCCACACCCACCAAGGTAGCTGCCCGATGTTCGCCGCTGCAGAGTCCCCAAATGCGGACGCTGGGAACATTCGATCTGCACAAATCCGCCTGCACACGCGGCGCACAGCGCACTCAAACTGATATATGATATTGAAAGTAATGATGAAAAGCAATGATGAAAAGCAATGATGAAACAAATACAAACAAATGTCATAAGTATATATATATATAGCTTAATAATTACAGCTAAAGCGCCCGATAGAGTGTCAGTTATGCTTAATAAATATTTTGATTGGACCTGCGTTTTCAAGAGACCTTCCCAAGACTGGTCCCGTGCCTGGTTTTGCTGAAATCTCTGCCATATCAGGGATACTAATCGATACCTTACATGTAAGAAAGCCTATGCCAGTAGTAGTGTTACTTTGGATATCTTTGGATATCTTTGGATATTATCATTACATAACTATATATAATAATATAATAGTATAATAATATAATAATATAATAATATAATAATATAATAATATATATATATACAAATAGTATTATGTAATTACATTTTGTGCAACAACAAGAACACTCATCAAAATCGATCCCACTCTCCACCTCCAGCTTGTACACCTCATCCTCGATGCACTCTCTGCCAACCTCCCAGCCGCTAGATTTTGCAGTGTCTGACTCCCCTCCAAACCACTATCTTCTTCCATGTTCAACCCAAAAGCTGGTATTTGAATCTGTTAGTTTCAATTCATTTCAGGTATTTACCAAAGATATAAGCCTCTCCAATATCTTACTTTTTATTGCTTAGAATTGCATAATCCTTTTCCAAAAGCGCTGGTGGGTCCTCCGTTCTCAAAAGCGCTGGTGGGGTTGTGTCCCCCACCTTGCGGAAGAGTTGTCGCAAGGAATCCTTGGCCTCTTCCTTCCTGGACTGGGACAGAAGCCACCGTGGCGTCTCCGGCAGGTTGGCACTGAGCAACAGCTGAGCTGCAGCTGGGACGGCCTGGGGTGTCGTGCCCTAACAGAAAAATGCTGGTGATGTTCCTCCACAGAAAAATGAGGTACGGTACAATTTACTGTTTCTTATGTACAGTATCAGAGGGGCTAGCAAAAATGACTCCCACTTTTTTTGACTCTGAAATCTTGCTTTTGAGTCTGTAGGTTTGTAGAGTGAAAGTTTGATCTCCTCTGGGAGCCTCTGAGAGCTTGATTTTGAGTGTCTCATAGGTCTCTGGAGCCTCTGACATTTTGATTTTGCGGATTTTGAGCCTCTAAGTTTCTGAAGTCTCTGAAATAAAGTAACCCTGAAATTTTGAGTTCCAAGTTTGTGGAGTCCCTGAAATTTTGATTTAAATGTCACGATTACTTATCTTCGTGGTCAAATCACAAAACGTTCATGTTTTGACCCGCGAAAATAAAAAAACGCCGAGGTGCTGCGAGGCCAATTTGCCACCTCCAGGCCTCATGCGAGAAGGGCTGTAAAGCCGCAGACCTGGGTTGCGATCCCGGCATATCCCGGCGATCCCCGGGGCGATCCCGGGTCGTGGCCACGTCCAGCCAAGGGGCACCAAATAGGACACCAAAATGCCACCGGTGCCGATGAATGGCGCCCATCCACCTAGGCGACCTCGACAAACTGCAGGACTCACCTGACCAATATTTTTTTGGGCAAAATGATGCAAAATGACAGGATTTCTGGTGGAAATGCGCCATCTTTAATTTTAATGCAATCCATTCTTCTGCATGTGTTACTTCGTGTTACTTCTTACACCCAGTCTGGCAGCTCTGAAGGGTTGCAGTATCAAAGTTGACTTTGAAGAAAGCGCCTTTTGTGGACTTCAAACATCTTCAAACATCTTCGAACATCTTCAAACCCTCTGCAAAATCTCAAAAGACCTGGTGTAGATACTTCTGGTAGTTGGACCAAGGAAGCAATGACTATGGCAACAATTCTGTCAAATCCAACAAAGACCAACACCCTCGTATGAATGATCTGGTAGGCCTTATCCAACAAGGACTTTCCACGGCTAACCTCGCTGGATTGGTTTAAGGTTCAAGGGAAGTGTGGCACTAAGGAACCCCCTATGGCCCTATGGTTGATTGGATAAAAACATGGAATCCTGTAGGGTTTCCCTTCAATCAAGTCAATGATATCCCTATCGGTTGACAACTCCAACCTCTGTGATGTAGAGGTTCGTCAGCACCGAAGAGACTCCAATCGGAATTCCTGTCAATGTCCTGTCAGCATAGATCATATCGAATCCAAGATGTGAAAATTGCAGAATGCTAATTCAATGCTAATTAGTATGGGTGTGAGTCAACCCCCAAAATCTTTGGTAAGTATAACCCATAGGATCCATTGTGCTGGTATATATATATATGCTAACATTTGGGGTATATTGATGGGATCCACGTTACCATATATAGCAGCACCATGGATCCGTCATGGGTAATGAATGTTCATCTCAAAAAAATAGACAGTCCAACACAGCCGCAAGGGTTCAAATGGGCTCCAAGACAGTCGAACAAGTATAAGCAGAAATTGCGGTTCAACGTTCAACGGACGAACTATTTGGCCTTGATTTCCATTGATTTCCCATCTTTCGATGCAATCATTTGGAAACCCTCCAGCTGGGTGCCTGCCGAAAAGCAACACCGCATAGTTTGGAGACAGCGCTGACAGCAAAGGAGACACCACAAACAGAGCTGCAGTGGTGAGTAGGGCCCGCCGACGACCAAGAGTGTTGGCAGACTGGCAGGACATCGTGGAGCATCATGGAGAAACTGTTGAGTATCACTGCAGCTCCCACACTTGCTGTTGGTTCATAGGGACTCCCATCTCTAACCTGGTAATGATGATCTCCAGTTCAATCTTGTGGCACAAACCCACCAATGTGGTAAACTTAATAACAACTCCCGTTTCTTGGGGTCTAGAAGCCCCAAGAATGGGAGAGGCGAGCACGGTGAGCACGTTTCATTCAGCTTTGTTCTGCCGGGTTTGCCATGGTTTACCTCAATGTTGACCACGGTCCAAAATTGGGGTGCCAAGAATTTGATGACTGCGGAGAGAAACAACAACTAACATCGTCCAAAGATGTCCGAAGCGTCTTCGATTTTGACCTAAGGCCCTTGCCCGCAGAAATATATGGGGTAAACTCATTCCGAGAAAGCTCCAAATTTGGAACCAGTATAACCTGTTCAACTGGAAAATCATTGGGTATTGAGAATATGGTTTTGGGTTTTGCGCAATCATAATACTAATGAAAATAATAACAACACTGCTATTAACACTATTATTCATTAATGTTCGAAATCTGATGGCTAGGTGATCCATGATATGTATCCACTAAGAATGGTACCTTCAGCAAATCTGGCAGCTCAAAAAAAAAACACCAGGCACCAGGACTGGAATTCGCTTATGGAATCATCGCAGCATGGCCTAAAAAGGAACCAGTATCCATGGAACCCACATGGCTGTGTCTGAAAATTGTGCCCCCCTAAATCCACTGGTTCATCATCACTATGGTATATCTCCAAGATCTGCAGAACAAATTCATCATGACTCAATAAAAATAAAAAAAACAATCTGAAATTTTAGGTCACTTTTCTGGAAGTTTCCCATAAGATGTGGGTAACCCATCTTAACCCGAAAAATCATCCATGTGATTTTGGGGGCTACCCCCATGACTATGGAACCACCCAGCCCCCCATGGCCACCGTAGCCCTGGCGTTGCCTGTCCGCACAAAGCTCCCACGGTGGCACCCAACAGCGCCGCACTGACCAGTTCCGCCACGGCCAAGTTTTGAAGGTGTAGGTCCTGGCCAGTGGCATGGAGAAATGGGATGTGGCTATACCGATGTGGCTATAATGTACTATGGGATATATATGATATATATATATTATATATATATATATATGTATATATATAATTAAGATTTAAGTTGTTGTCCAACTATGGATTCATGAATCTATGTTGTTAATGTTGTATCCCGATTAGTGTCCTGGAACTCTATTGTGAGAAAATTTTCTAAAATAATTAAGTATCCTGTGAATGGTGGGGGGGGCCTCCATTGTGAGAAGTTTTTTCTCAGATCCATTTTTTTCAGGAGGAGCTTTATCCACCTTTATACACCTTTCTTTGGATAAAGCTAGTCCATTTACTTTAGAAAGCCATATCCATGTTAAAGCATTGAAAATGCAAGGTTTCCCAAATAATTAGATGCCTTATTAAACCCTTATTAAACACCCAAACAATTTTTCAAGGGGGTACCCCATGAGTGACCGAGATCCTCAATAATGTAATTGTTTCGATGGTACTCTTTTGTGCACAAAAACTTTTGCGGTGATCCTTTTGGATTTGAAAGGAACACCAATTGAAAGTAGATTGATGTCAATTGAAATCCTTACTTAAGTTGACTATCCTTAAAATTGTTGAGGGGGGGTCGTCCAAAATGCCGAGTTATTGAGTAGACTAAAATTGTTGAGGGGGGAGGGGGGGCACACTAATCAGGATACAACATATTTCATATATGGAGTAAATGACGCAATTTGGCATTTGACTCATTGCTTTTGCTGGTTCTTAACCATCCTATTTTAAGATTTCAGAGGCAAGCACCACAACAAATGGATCAAGGTTGTGTTTTTTTTGAATTGGAAACTACCGAAACTGGTGATTTAGAAGTCGTTGGCCAAATTCGATGAAACAAATGCAGATGCCGTTTTGGGTATGAATGATCATAGAATACACCCGCTGTGTTCACCCTGGACATGCCACTTGTCCCGAGCAAAGTTCTCGAATCCTTAGACTTCACCCCGGTGCCTCCATAATGCCCTCCTGGGCACCAGCAACAATGCCGGTGTTGTATCCCAAGCAAAATGTGCTCAAACTGGCGACAGCCACTGTCCTGACATCTGTTTGTCTTGAAAACATAGGGGATACCCAAGAATTGCCTTGGGGAACATGATAGTGTAAAAGCTATTTTAAGCCAGGGTTGGTTAGAGTTCCAAATGTTAAGACCATGATAAACGAGAATTGAACCGATGTTGTGCAATCAACTGGCCCTTCCAGATTCTAAATGGATCCACTTGTGTTTTTTTGTTCCAAGAGCTGGATTCGGGATATCAATAATTAAAAACATACTTCCGATGATCTATCCTGAAAGTCAAATGACTCATGTTACCAGGAATCCAATAGCGATGTCTGACGCATGAAATAAGTCTGGGAGTATTCTGGATAATGTCCCATGATGTTTGGTTATATACTTTATGTATATTTATGTACGTATTATATATTTACCATCATTATCTAATCACCCCAAGCCATTGTCCCATAACAAAGTAATTACATACAAAGTAAAGAATCTATTATTCATGGTTTCACTATTCTGTGTATTTCTGCTTACTATCCCATAACTAACCAAAAAAAGAATATTTTCGTGATTGTGGTCAGGATGATCCTTACCACTGATATTTCTGGAGGATTACTATCATTATTACGATAAATTCTGGATGATTATTACTATCCCACCATAAATATTACAGTAATATTACCACCATAATTTATTATTATTATATTACCATTGCCAAAGCTAGTATATTACAATATTATCCTCTTTCATTACTATAGACATATTATCAGTATCACCATTGGATGAAAATTACCATCATTTCTGCCTCTTCAGCTGCTCCAGGTCAGCCTCCAAGGACCTGAGAGTGGTGAAAACCATAGGGGAAAAACCACGATATTTAAAGGTTGAAATATACTGCAAGTACATCTATGAATTATGACATATACTTAAAGACAATTCCAGATAACTACAGTGAGTACAGATCATCACAGATAATTCTGATACTTGCAAATAATTACAGATCATCACAGATAATGGCATATAGCTAGAGGTAATTACAGGTTGCAGATAATTACAGATAGTTCCAAATAACTACGGTGACTGCAATAAGTACAGATAATTAACTAAGATAATTGCATATAACTACAGATTCTTTCAGATAGTTGCACACAATTACAGATAATTACAGATTAAATGTAATTACACGCAGTTCCAAATAACTAGTGACCACAGATCTGTACAGATAATCAAAATAATGCATATGACTACACATCTTCACAAATAGTTGCATATAATTACAGATAACTACAGATTACAGATATTTACAGGTAATTCCAGGAAACCGCAGTGAGTACAGATAATCACAGATAAATCTCATACTTGCAAATAAATACAGATCATCACAGATAAATGCAGATATAAAGATAATTACAGATTACAGATAATTACAGGTAATTCCAGATAACTACAGTGACTACAGGTAATTACAGATAATCAGATAATCATGATAAGTTCAAATAAATACAGATCATCACACATAGTTTCAAATTTAAAGATAATTGCAGATAATTCCAGATAATTACAGTGAGTACAGATAATCACAGATAATTCTGATACTTGCAACTAATTACAGATCATCACAGATAATGGCATATACTTAAAGGCAATTACAGGTTACAGATAATTACAGATAGTTCCAGATAACTACAGTGACTACAAATAATAAAAGATAATTATGATAATTTGCATAGAATTACGAATGTATAATCACGGATAATTACATATTTACTGATAATTACAGATTACAGATACTTTCGGATTATTCCAGATAACTACAGTGCCTACACATAGTTACAAATAAACAAAATAATTGCAAATAATTACAGATCATCACAAATAGTTGCATATTTACCGATAATTACAGATCACAGATAATTGCAAATAATTCCAGAAAACTATAGTAACTACAGGTAATTACAGATAATTATGATAAGTGCATATAAATACAGATCATCAGATTTAGTTTCATATTTATAGATAATTACACATAATTACAGATAGTTGCAGATAATTGCAGAAAACTACAGTGACTACAGATAATTACAGGTAACTATGATACTTGCAAATAATTGCAGATTACATATAATTCGAGATAACTACAATGACTACAGATAATTACAAATAATTATGATAATTGCACATAGTTACAGATCATCAAAATTAATTGCATATTTGCAGATAATTAGAGATTACGGATAATTACAGATAATTCCAGATAACTACTGTGGCTACAGGTAATTACAGATAATCATGATAAGTTCAAACAAATACCAGTACAGATCATCACAAATATCATATAGTTTCAGAATTTAAAGATAATTGCAGAAAATTTCAGATAACTACAGTGACTACAAATAATGATAGATAATTATGATAATTGCATATAATTACAGATCATAATCAGAACAAATCATTCCATATTTACAGGCAATTACGGATTACAAATAATTACGGATAATTCCAGATAACTACAGTGACTACAGGTAGTTACAAATAATTGTGATAAGTGCATATAAATACAGATAATCATATTTACTTTCATATTAATAGATAATTACACAATATTACACAGAATTGCAGATAATTACAGACACGGACAGACAATTACAGATAATTACAAGCACCGACAGATAATTACAGATAAATGTGTTTTATTGGAAATAATCACAAACATTTCAAATCATTACAAATAATGACACATAATTGCATTTAATTACAGATAATTACATATAAATGCACATAATGACATATAAATACATAATTACGGATAATTACAAACAATTACAGACATATTTATCTGTAATAAAATGTAATTACAAACAATTACAAATAATTACAAGTAATGACATCTAATCACATATAATGAACTACAAATAATTACATATAGTTATATAATATACATAAAATTACAAATAATTGCATCTAACGACATGTAATTACATCTAATAACATGTAATTACATCGAATTACATGTAATTACATCGATATACATGTAATTACATATAATTACAAATCATTACGTCTAGTTCCATATAGTCACACAAAAATACAAACACTTAATGATAATTACATACGTATAATTAAACTGGTTGGTGGTTTCAACCCCTCTGAAAAATATTAGTCAATGGGAAGGATGTTCCCATATATGAAATGGAAACTAAAATTCATGTTTGAAACCACCAACCAGATTAAATAGGTATACATATGTATACATATGTATACATCCATAATTCATAGACACCAATTCCATGGTAAAATTTACTATGGACTTTTGTGGAACGTAACGGGACGTAACGCTTGAGGCTCGTGGCATCTATTGGGCCACCCGGATCCACCCGGCTCTGCAGCACTGAGGGCTTCACCTGACATCCTCTGGCTCTAAGATCTGCACATCAGCTGTGGACATTGCTCCTTGCTTTGCAAAACATCAGCTGAGTTGAGCAAGTGATGTGGCTTCGGTATACAAAAAGGTGATCTTGAAATATCTTGAATTCAGTGATGAAACGAGAACTTGAACTTCGAAGACTTGAGCCTACAGGCCTATAGACCTTCGAACTTCTTTAATTCTTTACACATCGCGGCACAATGACCATCGTTGAGTACCAAACCACTGCGTGTGGTCTCGGCTCACCTGCTTAGCAGGAAGCTATCCTTGGCACCGAAATCAGCGGTGCCGTTGGTGGAACATTCATCGTCGGTGAATAAAACACACAATTACCATGTGCAAATCATCAGTACTAGTATGTACCATAATACGCCGACTTATCTAGTCACCTGATTCTTTGAATAGCAAATTGCCAACCCTAAAAATCACGTAGATTGAATTCCATTGAAAGGATGTTATCATGATATGGTTCAAAACTTCTGTGAAACTTTATCTTGCAGGGTTTCTCTAAGATTTTCTGAGAAATGATTTGGCTAGAGAATGTATAAATCCTATCACATCTATCACAACGTGAGGATCTGCCAAAAAGGGTTCTATAGAGCGTAAAAACATGTATCTTTTTTTTTTACATCATAACATCGTATCATTTGCAATTTCGATTTCGGATCTTCCAGTGGATCTTCCGTTCGGAACGGACTGCTTGGATGATGCACCCCCAAGCAGAAGTCCAGCTATTGATGCTGGGGCAACCAGGCCGGTAACAGCTGCATTGGCCATCCAATGCCGTTGGTGTCAAAGTGTTACTGTTGCTAATCGAATAAGTTTGCAATTGGACCCATTTTGGGAGTTGGCTCAGAACATGGCTAGAACATGTTGATTGACTTGTACCTAAATCTGAGATTAGCCAGCCTATATCCAGAAGCAATGGATACAAATGACGTTGCACGAATGCGCTAACTGTTGCGCAAGTCTCCTCATTGGTTTCTGAGTGAACCAGCATCATTGCTTTGTATGACTCACAGCTACTGAAGCTGCAAGTTGCTGCAAGCGAGACACATGGATGAATATGATGAACCCCATCATCAACTCTTCTGCTTTCTGGCAAGTCCAAGTCAAACAGTGTCAAACAGAGTCTCTTGAATGCATCCATCTGTCGTCTATCGACCTAAGGGGGTCAAGCGGAACTCCCAGCATTCTCAAATGACATGTCGTAGATGAGCGTGCAAGGATAAGTCAGACGTACCACAGACGCCGGTGTCACGGCCGAAACACTCATTTTGGGATGGGTAGGTATATACTAAAATGAACCAATATGAACCATACTTGGTATTCCTGGGTCCATTGGTACCCCAATTCTGTTAGTGCACATCTAGCCCCATCGCTTTTCGTTGTAGGACTTGCAGACCTTGCAGCTGCAACTCACCTCTTTTCACTAAATTCGATATCATCGCTCAGCCACCAGACACCAGACAGGGTTCCAATTTTTTTAAGGCTGAGTCAAACCAATCCTGGGAGGGGAATGGGACCTGCTGCGCACCAAAGGTCATTGGTAGGTCCGGACATTGAGAATGTGTCAATATCAAATTACTTCGCTGTTTCTATTGTCGGTGGAACATGTTGTAGTAGCGGTTGCTTCACGTTGCGCAACATGATGTTTTCAAGGCTGAGACTAAGTTTAGACACACAATATATACATGTCATTGCGCTGAGAGAAATTGAGAAGAAAAAACTGCATTCTTTTGACACAAACACTGCCATAAATGACCCCAAAATGAATCCAAACATCCTGGTAAAAAAACATGGATATAGTTCCATAATATGGAAACGTTACAAAAGAGACAGTCGATGAATGAATACCGTACATCCAACCAAATGAAAATGTTTTTTGTGCCCTTGGATCAAGAAACATGTTCGTTGCTGGGACGGAAGCTGAGTCGTGAGCATTTACTAATGTGGCTCTGACATTTTGCCAGGGCCCGATCATGTTTGTGACACGTTCCAAACCCACAAATTCCATGGGCAGTGGTAGCGCGTCTTGCACTACCGGATGTCTACGTCAAACTGTAAATCTAACCATCATTTTCACCCTTGTGCTCAGTCCAAAAATAGTGGATCAATCATGATTGAAGGAGTCTAGAAGTCATTTTTCGACTTATGGACAGATGCAGCAACAGAGGTGCGCAAAAAGGATCGAAAAGGTATATAATAGACAAGTCGCGAAACACTGTGTTTTTCCTATGCTTCATGGCTGTGGAGGGTCGAAAGTATAGGCTCGCTAAAGTGGCGGGAGCGGAGCCATGTGGCCGGATGAGAGATCAAAAAAAGGACGCCGTTGTGGCGCGAAGCAGATTTGAAGGTCAAAAAAAAATCAAGCCCGAAATCGTCAACTTTGGCAGTTAAGATGTTGAAAAAGCGCGCCCGTGGCGCAAAGCACTTTTCGATGTAAAAATATGTAAAAATTGTAAAAGCACCTCAGCCTCAGAGCACTTTTGGAATCTGAGGTGTTGAATAAGCGCGCGCGGCTGTAACGCCAAGCACGGTTCGACGTCAAAATGCTGAAAACATCTCAGCTTCAGAGCACTTTAAAGCACTTTTAAAAATTGGTGTGTTCAAAAAATGCACGCCGACATTTCGAAGTCAAAATGCCAAAAGCACCACATGTTCGGACCACTTTTGGAAATTGAGGTGTCCAAAAAGTGCACGCCGTTGTGGCGCGAAACACCTTCGCATGTCACAGGCGCGGTGGATTGCGCACCTTGCCAAAAGTAAGCGAAACGTGCGGGTTTCGTGGCAGTTGCAAAACTGATGGCACGCACCGGACGATTAAAGAAGATCTGCAATCATGCATGTCGGGTGGCAGGCGCATTACAAAAGACGCCTCCATCAGAGATATTAGAAGGTCAGGGCGCTGATTTCCTGAGAGGGGTTGCAATTTGGAGCATCATGACAGGCGCAGCACTTCGTACGACCTGGCATCAGTTTTTTGTGGCAGGCGCAATACTTTACACAGATGGGGTGGAAAAATCACAAAACGCATTGGTACGAGGCCGTCAGCTCTGCACTCAACTTTCCATTTTTGAAGGAGTCTCGCTGAATGCTTAGTTTTTTCCATTTCCAAGTTCAAAATTGAGGAAGTCTCGCGGAATTGCTTCGTTTTGGACCTCAGAACTTCTATGTTTTGAGGAAGTCTCACAGAATTGCGTCGTTTTGGACATGTCAACTCCCACTTTGGAAGAAAGCCTTGCATAATTCCTTCCTTTCAGATAGAAAGATAGATAGATGGATAGAAAGGTTCATAGATAGTTAGATGGGCAGAGAGAGAGAGAGAGATATAGATAGATAGATAGATAGATAGATAGATAGATAGATAGATAGATAGATAGATAGATAGAAAGATAGATAGATAGATTTAGATTAGATAGATTAGATAGATTAGATAGATTAGATAGATTAGATAGATTAGATAGATTAGATAGATTAGATAGATTAGATAGATTAGATAGATTAGATAGATTAGATAGATTAGATAGATTAGATAGATTAGATAGATTAGATAGATTAGATAGATTAGATAGATTAGATAGATTAGATAGATTAGATAGATTAGATAGATTAGATAGATTAGATAGATTAGATAGATTAGATAGATTAGATAGATTAGATAGATTAGACTATAGATTAGATAGATTAGACTATAGATTAGATAGGTTAGATTATAGATTAAATAGATTAGACTATAGATTAGATAGATTAGACTATAGATTAGATAGATTAGATAGATTAGATAGATTAGATAGATTAGATAGATTAGATAGATTAAATAGATTAGATAGATTAGATAGATTCGATAGATAAGGTAGATTAGATAGATAAGGTAGATTAGATAGATTAGATAGATTAGATAGATTAGATAGATAAGGTGGATAAGATAGATAAGATAGATAATATAGATCAGATAGATCAGATAGATCAGATAGATAAGATAGATAAGATAGATAAGATAGACAAGATAGATAAGATAGATAATATAGATAAGATAGAATATATAAAATAGAAAGAACAAAAGAAACAAAGAAAGAAAGAAAGAAAGACAGACATATAGATAGATAGATTAGCAGGGTAGACAAATAGGTAGACAGATAGATAGATAGACGGGCAGATAAATATAGATAGATTAGCCAGGTAGACAGATAGATAGACAGATAGATAGCTAGAAGGATGAAGACAGAAAGACATAGCGGTAGAGAGAGAGAGAGAGAGACGTGAGGGACAGGTGGCTAGATCGATGTTGCTACATGGAGCTTTGCGTCAGACAGATAGATACACAGATAGATAGATGGATAGAAAGATAGATAGATACATAGACAGATAAATAGATAGATAGATAGATAGACAGACAAACAGACAGACAGACAGATAGATACATACATAGATAATTAGATAGATAGACAGACTGACAGACAGGTAGAAAAAAATAGCTACGTAGAAAGATAGGTAGATAGATAGATAGAGAAGCAGTTTTGCTGCGTTTCTTGTTTTACTGGGTGAATTTTATCGTCAGTGATGTGGTGACGAACATGGCCGGCCATAAACGATCAGCTTGTTTCAAAGACAATACATAGATGGATACATAGCTAGCTAGCTAGATTGATGAGATGGAAAAAGAGAGATAGAAATAGAAAGAGATGGAGATAGATCGTCACAGATAGACAAGCAAACAGATACAGAAAGAGCGAGAGAGATTGAAAGAGACTAGAAGGAGACAAATAGAGAGAGCGAGACTCAGAGCCTAAACCACCTGTCAAGTGTCAAGACATCAGTTCGCTCTGCCATGCGTCACAACTCCCTTCTCCTATGGCTTTCCAATTTTCGAAGCTTCCGCCACCGCCTTGCGCGGTACTACTGGTAAATCATGGTAAATCATCATAAACCCGCAAAACGACCATTTTTCAATGGGGAAATGATGATCGAGCAGGGGATACGGATACGTCAGGAGCGCTGGCTCTCAGCATACGATGCAGGGATGTCGACTCGTCCAGTTGATATCCATCCTGACCGACTTAACGGTGACCAAGGCTCAACAGATCTCAACCGAAACGAAACAAAAACAGTGGTGCAAATGCTAAGTGTACTCAAAATAATCTGTTGGAACTGTGTTAAAATCTAAGATATCTAAGTAAGTATGCTAAGTGCTGCAACTTGGCACATACTTGACACTTCAGACGCCATTTAGGGCGCTTTGGATTATGACTTGATGATCCCTTGATGAGGACATCACACAACAGTCGTCACTAAGTGCACCACATCTCTGAGGACATCGTCAATCTCCTGGCAGCAGCTCTGTCAAGCTGTCAACGTTTCCACAACAGCGTTTGTGAATCACGCATTTCACGCACCTTATCCAGGTCGCGGTCGAACTCCAGTGCTCCAGCAGTGGGGTCGTTCTTAGCAAAGTCACAGGCAATTTTTTTTGGGAAAATTATGGGGAATCGCAGGTTTGACTCGTTTGATTGCACGTTTCATGGAAAAAGAAGGCACGAAGAAAATGCTGACAATGTTGAACCATTGATCACTTTGCGCTTGTGCAAACGTGCGCACAACTCCTACAATCGCTGGGTAATTTGAGCACCCAACACCATCAAATGGGTCTTCTCCCTGCCGCGTCACCGTGGACAGCGCTGTTCGAAGTAATTCAACGGGATCGCGTGAAAGCCGAAACAACAAACGAAGCAAACTGAGAAACAAATCTTCACCACCCATCATTTCCTGACTCTTCACTTCAGTAGTTTGGATTTGCTGAGAATTGATCTCCCATAGGACCTGCTGCCATACATCCTCGGGCTTGCTTGCTGACTGGGCAACCTTGGTGCTGTGCATCGGCGTTTCTTTTTTTGGGATAAGCAATAACCATCTAACCTCAACTGAAGACATCAACGAACAGCAGGTGGCTGTATCAAGAACCAATAATAAGTGACTTGAATCTTATAGATTCAATCAATATAGCAGTATGATACACCGACAACGTGCGACGCTAGCACTTGTCACAACCACGATCAGTTTAACAGTCAGCTGCTGATGTGTACTGCTGGATTCCTTGGTCTTGTCAGCTTGATCTAGGGACTAATCATACTGAACCAACACAAAAAAAACTTTCGGAAGACCCAATCCCAATATGGCCGTGTCTTAAAATGTGTTTTTACTCCCCGAAATGACTATGTCTAAAGGGCCGATAATTACTCCCCGAAATGACCATGTCATTTTCCCATGTCTAATTCACCAGTGGATTGACTAATTACAGGGGTTTTCCCCCCAGGCCCAGATCTGCCATCGCCAGTGGCAGCGCCAAAGGACGCCAACCCCTCCATCCTCGCTGTCTGTCCAAGGTCGAGGTGCCTGGCCATGGTGTCACGGTGTCATGATCAGGCGATGTGAATAAACTCGTCGCTGGCCCGAAGATCATCGAAGATATTACAAATGCATTCCGGTTGTAACATGTGTAATACATAGAGAGAGAGAGATGGGATCATATCTATAAATATCTATAATACATATATGATTATATCAGCTGCAACTAGAAGTATAACTATTCCAATGCCATGATCACATATGATCACATCCGTATCATGACATTGAAACTGTTTGTTGGGCCATCTACCTGCTGTTATAAAGTCAGTTGTCGTTCTAACCAAGAGCAAACGCTGCACGGTCAAAAACCCGACTTCGAATCAAGAAACTACTACTTATACCAGCTCTACAACTGGAAGAAATTGACGTGAATGCCATTGGTGGAGGCCCGTCCTAAACCCAAGGATGACCAAAATGAGGGAACATTATATTATATCCATATTAAATATATATATATATAGCATTATATAGTATGGCTGGATCAAAGCCCCCGGTATTCTATGGATGTTCATCCCACAAAATGTGGGCCAAGCACTCATAGGTTTCAACCCATCCTCATAGCGCGAGGCGGCTGGCATATACCAGCCAGCACTAGCGCCTTCTCGAAGCTGCGAATGCCTTTCAACCACCACCAAGCCTGGAGGAGATTCGGCATGCCCTCTGATGATTTGATGTCATTTGATGTCATTTGGCAGTTTACCCTTTGGTAAAACTATTGAACATTGCTATAGAAATAGTGGATTTTCCCATCAAAAATGGTGATGTTCCATAGCTGTTTGTATGTTTACCTTACCGGGTAAGCCATGGAAACCCCCCATGGCCCATGGCTAGTTCGATGAGAAATACTCCGACGCTCTAGGCTTGCCATCCATGATGAGTTTATCGCTAATTGACTCCGCCGAAAAAAACATGATGCTTTCAGCATCTCTAACAGCAGCCCTTTTTTCGGATTTCAAACGACCTGTCTCGGAAAGTTCTGGAGATGTACAGAGTTTCCGAACATTCTTCCGGCAACTTCGGTGATGAGTTCGCGGAATGCACTAAGAGGTTCTCAGAGGGACACAGAAAATTGACACATTTAATATGTCCCTAATATCTCTAGAACCAATAGATCTGAAAGGATGGATCGCAAGAAATGAACAAGTCCTGAACCCTCACTTAGGTAAGTACATCAGCATGTGACCTGATTTTGCATTGCAATACTGTACAACAACTATTTAAGGTTACCTCACTCTGGCAAGCCTGTCAAACGCCCAGCAGGCGTTTTGACTTTTGTCCATTGGCACCGTGGTTTCGTATGAACATGGTGTTACAGGGTACCTCAATCCGTCATGGATTCATGGATCCCATAGGATCCATGTATGGTATATATATGCTAACATTGGGGGTATATTGATGGTAAATGTTACCATATATAGCATACATGGATCCTATGGGGATTATCATCAGGTGTCCCACTGAAAAACCGCCGTGCTCTGGTGAATCCTCGGGTGAATCCACCATCTACTGCACTGTCCGAGCCTCTGCAGTGCCGTCCAACAGGAAAAGCGCTGCGGTCCAAGCCTCACGACTGATTGGCCAGTTCAACCCATCACGAAAAAGTGAGTTTGTCCTTATTCTCTGTGTAAAAGTTTCTGTGAAAGTGTAAAGGTTCCTTTGTGTAAAGAATTGTCTGTGCAAAGGCACCTGTGTGTCAAGACTTCTCTGTGTAAAAGTTTCTGTGTGTAAAAACGTGCCTGTGTGTAAAAGTTTCTCTGTGTAAAGGCTCTCTGTGAACAAGTTTCTCTGATGTTCTCTGTGTAAAAGACCTCTGTGTGTCAACGCCTCTGTGTGTAAAATTTCGTCTGTGTAATCTTTTTTTCTGTGTGAAAGTTTCTGCGTGTAAAAACTCCTCTGTGTAAAGACTTCTCTGTGTAAAAAAATCCTCTGTGTAACGACTTCTCTGTGTGTAATTTTGTTTTTTCTTTTTTTTTCTATGTAAAAACTTCTGTGTGTAAAAGTTTCTGTGTGCAAACGTTTCTGTGTGCAACAGTTCCTTTGTGTAAAAGTTTCATTGTGTAAAACTTCTGTGTGTGGAAGTTCCTCTGTGTAAAATATTTCTCTGTTAAAAAACGTATGCGTATGAAAAGTTTCTGTGGGTAAAAAATTTTGTGTGTAAAAATTTCTGTGCGCAAAAGGTGCTGTGTAAACGCGTCTGTGTGGAAAAATTCCTCTGTGTACAGGTTTCTGCGTGTAAAAGTTCCTCTATGTAAAAACTTTTCTGTGTAAAATTTTCTGCGTGTGTGTGTAAACGCGTCTGTGTGTAAAAGTTCCTCTGTGTAAACACGTCTGTGTGTAAAATCTTCTGTGTGCAAAAGTTTCTGTGTAATTTCCTTGCGTCATCGCAGTCATCATGGGGACAGACAAATATACATACGATATAATAATTTCACGATCACTCATGATACATTCGTTCAGTAACCATTATGCATCCACAACCTTGTTCATCGTTTATCATCCTTCATCATCACTCATCTTCATGTTTTCTCTTCCACTGTCTTTTGAATCTTTTGACCTACTCCTTCCTGCTTTTCTTTCGGGCCACAGCGTCGTCTAGTTTGACTACAGAACATAAAACTCTGGTTCGCAGAGCCTTCAAATTCGAGCAATACCGTACCCATTCATTGCATAATATCCAACCCGGCAAAGTACTTTATATATAAATATTATACTTGTTTTACTCAAAGCATCGCCCCCAAAAAAGAAAAGTCGAATTCAACTAAAATGGAGAAGTATATATTTCTATCTTCTTGGGTGGTTGCTATATGCGTATCATAAAGCCATAACTTGTGCTTGTCTGGGGTTCATCTCCCGCGGGATTCTAGCCCGTTGGCCTTGGCTGCAGAGCTTGCTCGATGATGAGGAGCCGCCAGACCCACTCGTTGGAGCCCAGACTTCACAGTACTGCCGGACAGGTTGGATCAGTTTGGCTGGTGATGCTCACCATACGCCATACGAGATTTGATGGGGATATCATGAGCATCTTTTGGATATGATCGAAGGAAGTTTAGAAGTCAAACTTCCGACAATATAGACAGATGGAAAAGCAGAGGTGAGAAGAGTCAGAGAAGAGAAGAGCAGAAGAGAGAAGATCAGAGAAGAGAAAGAGTCAGAAGAAAGAAGATGCAGGTGCGCGAGAAGTTCGAAAAGTCGCGAAAAACGGTGTTTTTCAAATGATTTGTGGCTCCGGGGGGTCGAAAAGTAGGCTCGCTAAAGGGGCGGGTGCAGTTGTGGCCCGAAGCACATTTGGCAGTCAAAATGCACAAAGCACACCATTCTCGGACCACTTTTGGAAGTTGCATGTCGAAAAAGTGGATGCCGTTGTGGCACGAAGCACATTTCCAAGTCAAAATGTACAAAACACACACCATGCTCGGAGCACTTTTGAAAGTTGAGATGTCGAAAAAGTGCAGGCGGTTGTGGCGCGAAGCACATTTCGAAGTCAAACGTGTAAAAAACTGATGGGCTCGGAGCACTTTCGGACGTTCAGCTGTCGTTTTGCGTGGCAGGCGCAAGGGGTTCTGCACGTTGTCAAAAGTGAGCAAAATGTGAGGGTTTTGTAGCATGTTCAACTACAACCACCACTAAACTACACTACATTACACTACACTCCACTACACTACACTACAACTACAGCTGCACTACACCACACTACATCCAGCAGTTGTGGGTGAGGTGACCAACCAGGTGACCACTGCAACCATTGTAACCACTCCAACCACCTTTCAGTCCATCAGTGGATTTGCTGTGCCATTCGTGATTCACAACAACCAAGCTCTCCTATAGGTTCCCTTTGAAACTTCCGCCACCGCCTTGCGCGGTACTACTGGTATGTAACATTGTATATAGCGGTAACTGATATAACCAACTAGCCTAGACGTAGATGACTAGATTTTCGTAGTTGGAATCTGCATCGAAGCATTCTATTAGTTCATGGATGTTTTGATGGATGATCATGGACTGATTTTGGTTACCTAATTTTCAATCAAGCCCAACTGGATAGCAACTGCTGGTTGAGACCAGACGGGGATTTACTGACCATGGCTTCGAACAATCAGGATATTTGGAGATGGCTTGAAGCAAATTTCAACTGGATTGGTTGAAGGGAAAAAATAAAGAGCGGGGGACTGTGGAAGTGCGTTTTGTTGCTAGTTTTACAGTGTGTCGTTGGTGCTAATTCTTCATACACATCATCATGCCTGATGTCTCTGCCAAGATGTTCATCCAAATGAAGATGCCACCAGCCAAAAAAAAACGGTAAAAAATACAAATAGTCGGTGGAGGGGAAACGGTATTGAGAGATTACTACACGCTAGTAAGCCAAACCATTTTGAAACAGCTGCAATGCAACCCTTCAAGCACCCATGCACGATGAGGCATTCATCTACTAAATATAGTGTTGCCTTGGCAGAAGTCTTCATTTCATCATAGACCTTTCATTCATCTGCTGCAATTTTCCTTCAAGGCAAGGCATTACTTCTTTCAAGAAAGAGTATCCCTACAAAATTTAAAGCAGTCCTCTAAACATGCAGTGTTCCTTTCTGTAGACGTGTGGTCTTTCTTCCTTTCATAGTAATATTAAGCCTGCCTTCAATCATACAGTATGTCTTACAGAGCATCATATTCCTACACAACACGCAGTGTGTGATTGACATTCAGTATTGCTGTCAAAAGGTGCAATGGTCGATGCACATTGCAGCATTCCTTGAAACAAGAAAGACTACTGTTGAGGAACATGCTTCTCACAGGTTGCAATCTGCATTATATTCCCTTAAATAAGAAGCAATATTCTTGCAAGAAAAGTATAATGTGTGCAAAAATGCAATACATCCTCTAATGATGTTAAGCCTCATTCTCATGTTTTCTCCATGGCATTTGCTTTAATGGAGAGACTTCATTTCTTCAAAAGAATTGCCTTGAAGACAAGATAATTCCTGAAATAAAAAGCAATATTCTTGCAGAAATACAATATGTGAACAAATGCAATACATCCTTAATGAAGTTAAGCCTCACCATCATTTTTCTGCATAACATTTGCTTTAAAAGGAAAGATTCCACTTCTTAAAAATGATGTTTGTTGTGTTCTGTTGTTTCACTCATATAGAGTAGCATACTGCATACATGCAACCATGTCTCTTCCCAAAAGTATTATATACATACACTTCTACTTCACAACAATGATTCTTTGTATTATTGCAAATTGTTATTGGTTCACAGCCTTATCAAGGTATACAGGAAGCTTTGTACATACTGGCACCAACACGTTCTTTCAGGAACACTATATTCATTAAAAATATGTACTCACAGGATTCCATTCTGACATATTGTTGTCCTTCTTCCATAGATTCCTTTACTTCTTTAAAGGAGCTTTGCACAGCTGTCTCTTTGAAAATGACTTTGGATTCATGTCAAAGATATGCTGCACTCCCTTATATAAGGGGACCGTACAAAAATGATGCCACTTTATGCAAGGAAAGATGTGACTTTATGCTAGGAATGTCATATTCTCGGAAAAAAATAGTGCTGCACAAGGCATGTATTGGAGGGTTTGAAAACAAATGTCAAAGGCCATGCTGAAACTTGTTTGCTGGTTATATGTTCAAGTCTTGGCTGTGTTGTATTTCCTCCCATGGTTTCAAGTCGCTTTCTGGGAGGGTGCCCAAACCATGAGAAAATCTTTTTGTTTGGTTTTGTATAGTGAGTTGGATGCCAAGGCAGAAGAGCAATGTGCAAACAGCATTGAAGAAATTGATTGTGTTTATGGTTTTGCCCATGAAGAATATATATATATATTGGGTTTGTGACCAGCAAAAATGAAGTTTTTAAACCAAGTCATAGGCAGAAAAGTTGCACTCACATAGTCCCCTGTTCTGAGAAAATACGGGGGGACCCATGGGAAAAGTACATTTTTCACCATCATAGATGGGGGGTTTGCTACCAATGGCCCCCGCCCTCAGTCAACTAGGCACCTATGCACCGGCTTCAAACGCACTGCTTGTTGAGCCTGGGAGTCATGGTCGAGACCCAATGGGTCAACCATTTTTTTTTTCGTTTTTTATCGGTGGACATCTTTGGACCCTGCCAGTGGCACCACGGAAACGGCCAGAGTCAGCCAGCAGAAAAGGCTTTGAAGGGTCAAACCTCAGATCGATGAAAATCTCAGGAACCGCCAAGGAACCGCTCCTATTTTTGGTTTTTGTTAATATCCGATATGATATTTTTTTGTATATTATAGATACCATCTAAATTGTAATAGGATACCATCTATCTATTATTTATGGGATATTGAAAAATTGTTCAGTTTTTTTTCCCATTGTATTAGCTGTTGTATATATATAGTACTCTATTGATCCCTATTGTACCATCCATGGGAATCTTCAGATCCATGATTTTCAGCAGTTGCATCACTAGTGAGTTCCCCCACTGCCATTGCAGCCAGCTGAGACCCAGGTCCAAACCTGCCATTGGACGATTTGGGCACCTCGAATTAGGGCCAACTGAGCTTCCAAAACCTGTTTGTTTGTTGTTTAAATACCATCTGGTTATGACTAACATAGCCATGGAAAATCACCATGCTATCAATAGGTAAACCATCTATAAATGGGTCATTTCCCATGGCTATGTTAAATAACCAGAGGGTATGTTATATCATTGCTCTCTTTCTGAATCCCCGCGAAACTTTGGCGATACGATGATACACCTGCTCTCCTTCGAGGCATCGTGAAATTTGCTTTCGCCTAGCTTTCCCAGAGTACATGTTCCTTTTGCTGAGGCGCGAAAACAAGTCTTCGCAATTCTTTCGCGACAGTGGCGCTATCTTTCGCGAAGGCATGTTACTTCAATACCCCCATTAGATCACTTGGGAGGTCTTGGCGGCTCAACTGACGGAAAAGACACAGACTGGGCACAAAGTTTTGAAACCCTCTGCCCCTGAGCTTGCAAAATGTTGTACCAACCTAGACATCTGCCACAGCGTTTTGGTCCGGTCAAGTAAACATGATACAGATCTTCCCTTAAGTGGTTGGTAAATCTGCTTGGGCACGTTGGTCACCTGATGTTGATTCTAGTGTTGTCTGCTGAGTGAAACACTGCGATAGCTGTCCCAGGGCGGTCGCGACATGTCTCGACCGCCTCCATCAGCAAATTCCTGGCACGAGCCAGGCGGCTGACATCTGCTTGAGCTGAACTCCAGGATTCCAACCTCAGCGAAAGAACAAGGCCGTACAACCTGCGGCCCTGCGTGAAACTATGTGAAACTATGACTATGTGTTCATGTAATTTGCATCAATCTTATGTGTCTCATTTGCCCAGATATGCCCAGATGACCCGCCAAAAGACCATTCTTGAATATCGGATCTGAGCACTTTGAGGATAGCAGCTAACACTATATACCATTATATATATATATACCTTCCTTATCCCTCATTGACTCCTTGGCATTTCTGAATGAATGTGCGCTCCGTCTTACTAGGTTCTTGACTCTTCTGCAAAACCTGGCGCGAAGATTTATGCTCTTTGCAGATGCCCAAACGCTGCATGGAATAACGACCACAATTCATGATTCATGTACGAGTACCCCCAAAATGGACTAAATGTGACATAGGTAAATATCGTGAACATCGTAATTTCACATCATATACGGAGCATATGGTCATATGGGATTGGGATTGTCCAAACCAACACATATGTATTAATGGCCTGGAAGGGTGATAACATGTCATAAACAGATGGTTACTTAACATAGCCATGGAAAATCCACCAATTTTCAAGAACGGTGTTTACCATCTATTTCATTCTATTTCGATTAGGGCCATCGAAAAACCATGGCAAACTGTTAGTCATAACCAGGGTAAAATCGAAAAACCATGGCAAACTGTTAGTCATAACCAGAGGGTAAACATGGGTAAACAATCAAAATGGTTGTTTTCCAATGCTCAGACAACCCCAGATGATGGTGGCAGCACTTTTTCCACGGAATCGCCACTACGCGGAACCATCCAGGAAGACCATGCCGGAGAGCACCTGGCGAAATGGGATGGTTCATGCATCAAGAATCCACCAAAATCCATCAAAAAATCATAAAAATCCATAGATGTTGATTCTGTAAATTCTGTAAGTCTTGCTCATACTCAATAATACTCTTTTAGTGTGACCCATAACATCCCATAACACTTTTTGACCCACGGCCATGGGATGCCAAACACAACTACAAGGCACAGCTCGGACGTGTGAACGACTCAACTCCTTCAACTCAAGGCTGCCATCCTCCAGCCTTGCGTGACTGCTTCAAACGTGTTCAAAAGTACTTAAGAACATATTCTGCTTCTTATTTTATACGATTAATCATTTATGATTTATGATCATTTATGATGTTCAAAATATTACTAGCATTATTTATGATGATTATGATGATATGAACATTAATTAGAAAATCTATCAGTATCATCATCATCATCATCATCATCATGATCATCATGGTCAACACTCATTATCATCAATAGTGATGACTATTTGCATTATCAATGCCCATGATTATAATGGTAATTATACATTGCATAAATATGCATAAATTATATGTCATTATTTACTATTGTCATTATTATCATGGTCATTTATCACTTTTCAAACTGGCAGAATTTATCAATGTTCAGACTTATTCAAACAATCATCAACATAATCATTTATCAAGCCATGTTCGCAGATAATCAGTGATAATCAGGTAATGACAACTGGAAGATCTTGATTTTTACTACGAGAAGCTCATCCAAATCTGTTATCTAAGTTATCACCCAAAGCAGCAACTTGCAAATCGGTGATAACAATCGGTAACCATTGGCAAATCCATTGGCAAATCAAGAAACTCTTGCCAATCGGAGAGAACTTCAAGCCGATCGGTGGCACGCGTAATGGCGATCTCCTGCAGGCTTGCCATGGCTTGACCAGCCCGCTCAACGGTTGGATATTGCAATACCCTCAGGGACACGGGCGTTCAATAACTCCATGAACAAATCAGCACCTATGTTTTCTTATATCAAAAATTATCAACATATTTTTTTTCAATTAGACCCATTACTTCAATATGTTTTCTTGGATTTACAACACTATGGGCCATGCTCCCGTCCGCATAGAGGTCGTCTTCAAGAAGGTTCCGAGCTCGGCTGCTGGAACAAAGTGGTTGGATGTGAAGCAAACCATTCGGTCCATTCCTGGAGCAAGGATGATTTGGGGCTGAACTAATTCGGATGATTTTTGGATCGATTTTTGGATCGATTTTTGGCCTGAAAAATGTTCGGAGACTTTGGGATGCACATTTTGATGGTTGGATCTTTGGATGGGCGAACAGTGATGGACCACTGAAAATCCATCGCTGCCGGCGCAGATCTGCCTGCTGTAGTTGACCTGCAGGGCGATGATGCGACCTCAGTGGCCATTTCCGGAACAAAATATGGCCAGAAATATGGTACGTTTACGTACCTCCATCTGTTGGATCCTGAGTCATTACCATTGATCCCCATGTATTCTCATGAAACAACCAGTTTTTTATAGAGGTTTTATCCCAATCAAAATCCCATTTTATTCATGGCATCTCTTGTTCCTCTCGGTGAAAAAAATCAGGTTTCAGAAAAATGTCCATGGGATTCCATCGTCGAGGTACCAACACCCCAGCCACGATTTTGTTGGGGTTGTAGCAAGCGATAAATCACCACATCACCTTCTTGAACCCCGCCCTCTGCTGCGGCATCATGCCTGGACAGGCTTGGCAGCCACTGCCCATAATATGTGTATATATTGTTCAACATACAATTATATTATATACTTATATTATACAATTTTATTATATACTGATATTATCTACTGATATGATATATTTATATTATATAGTTATATTATTAGTATATATATATAACAGAAGAACATAATAATAGGATTCACTTGAAGGCAAACCAGAGATCAGTTGCGCCGCAGCGCAACTAGCACCCTCCATTCTCCACATTCTCCACATTGGATGATGATACCCTCTGGTTATGTCAACAGTTTGCTATTGAAAATGGCCATAGAAATATTGGATTTACCCATTAAAAATGGTGATTCTCCATAGTTTTTTGTAACTTTACCAGAGGGTAATCTCTCTGATCTCGAATCAGTGTGTGAAACCAAACGACGAGCATCACACTCTTAGAGTGCTGAGAAATGTTGGGAGGAACCGTCCTCGCGTCCTACAGAATCCATCAGGATTTCTATCTACAATACATTACAATACAGTATTCCCCACTAAACTAAATAGGATTAGCACATGTAACCATGAACCACCAGGTTTTTTGGCCAATTGATCAACTGCTCAGTGTTCAAGATCCTTCGTCATCCCATTGTGCCAGTGTGTTAATAGCTTTTCCCATAGTGGGTCATAGTCAAAAGAGATCAAACAAATATGCCCAGTAACCATCATAACATCATCAACGATAAATGTGCATATATATAATTATATGTTATATATCTATATATGTTATATATATACATATATATATGTATATATATATATATACATATATATATATACATATATATATATACATATATATATATATATACATATATATGTGGTACTTTGCCCATGATAAAGCCACAGTTGCTCATGGTTCCCCAGCCATTTGGCTCCAACTTCCCCGTTAGCCTCCTGACGAAGGTGTTCAACAAGGCCGCGCGACCTGCCCAGCCATCATCGTCCGTATCCCTCCTTGGTGAAATGGATGGTCCAGATGGATGAAATGCATTTTCCGTGGACCAAATGACTTGGTGAAATGATGCATAAAAAAATGCATAAAACTTTTCGTGGTTCCAGGATGTTCCAGGTCCTATGGATGAAATGGATGAAATGGATGAAATGGATGGTGAAATGGATGGTGAAATGGATGGTTGGTGTTCTGTGGCTCCAGAATAGTACCTCAATGATTTCTCCCTTTCTTGCAGAGAGAACTTGGGCTTTGCAAACGAACCAAACAAAAAGGCTTGAGCAACACGTGGATACTGATAACTATTAAGGGAAACAATAATCATAGATAATCATATACAACACGTGGATACTGATAACTATTAAGGGAAACAATAATCATAGATAATCATAGTATATCTTAACAGGTTTGGAAGGGACTGTTCAGCCAGGGAAAACCTGAACAACTTTGGCAGGTGACTCGATCTGAGAGAAGTCCCCCCAGCCAGGAACTTTGCTTTCCTCCAGCCAATCTTGCAGGAACTCATCCACAGCATCTTTTCCTCCGCTGGGGTCGACACTTTGAAGATGTCGGTAAGCTTCCTGAGACGAAAAAATCGCCGTGGACAATGACTACATTACTACATTGACTAGCAGTTGAGGGTTTTAACATATTTTAACCGCTTTCATCCCCTTGAAAAATATGACAGTCGACTGGGATGATCATCTCATTAATGGGTGAAGATAGAAATTACTTAAACCACCTGAAACCACCTGAAACCACTAGCCAAACTATGCCAAACTATCATTGACTGCTGCTTGGCCGATACAAAAACGTGACTATATCAACCCTCGGACCGTAAGCTGACCTTCGGAGGCTGTCCGACTGCTGTCTCAAGATTCACACCGCAATGGCTGTGTTGTGCTGAAGAAAACATTGGAAACCCTATGGTGAACTAACATAGCTATTGAAAATGGCCATTCTCCACATTGGATGATGATACCCTCTGGTTATGTCAACAGTTTGCTATTGAAAATGGCCATAGAAATAGTGAGTTTTCCCATTAAAAATGGTGATTTTCCATAGTTATGTTAGTTTACCAGAGGGAAACTCAAAGATCGTTGGAAAACTCCCACAGCTTCCAACATCGAGATGCCACCACTCGACGAAAGGACTCGGCCGATCCGGTGACGTCTGGGTGGGTTTTGGCCGCCAACCTTCGAAACGCTCGCCTCAGTCCATATATATATATAAATAGTACATATATATATATATATATAATTATATATATATATTATATTATATATATATATATTTATATATATATACATATTTATATATATATTATATATATTATATATATTATATATACAAACTACATATACTATTACATACAGTATATTGTATAATATTGCATATGTGTATATTTGTATATGTGATACATATACTAATACACCTACTAACCCATAGATTATTTACATACACTACTTCATATCTTTCGTGTGTATATATATATAGAGAGAGAGGAACGATCAAACGGACTCTGGCATCCTTTAGGAGCACCGAAATGTGCCGGAGATCTTGAGGTTTTCCGAGACATGGAGAGAAACAACAGGGAACAACCTGTGAGGGATGTTCGTCACTACCAAAGTGAGTGACCAAAAAGGTCGCAAAAAATAGGCTTGCGGTTGACCAGAATTCTGTGCAGTCCATGCGTCAAGTATCCGCAACTCTTGAAAGTTTGGGACAGCGTCAAGGCCGAAGATTTCCAAGGCCTAGGATGTTGATGGAAAATCGACATCTCACATGTTGACGCAGCCACTTTGCCGCGATTCCAAGGATTTGAAAATGCTCATGTTGGTTCTTTTCGGACTATGTCAAGATAAAGAAACAATAAAACCTAATAAAACCATGTATATAATTGTTATAATTGTATATGCTGCACTGCTGCACACAGCTAAAGCCACTTCCGACTGAGTCACGTCCTGCCTCTACAGTTTCTGGAGCAACGCGGAGAGAAGTGCGCTTTGGCAGCTTTATCCTGCGAGTAGATTGCAAGATGTTGCTGAGACATTGATGATGTTTCAAACTTTCAAATCACACTCAGTACCAGGAATTACCTAACAACAAACAGAATGTCAAAGTTTCTGATGTACAAAGATTGGCATTCCAAATACCTGAAAACGTTCTTTCAGAAGGCTCAAACAATCTAACAACGCTGAGTCCAGCCATGCTTGTGTTGGTTTGCAACTCTGCATAGATGGCACTAATTACTGTAGCCTGCAGTACATTCAGAATGATATTGAAAACCCACCTGCAGTGTAGATATCATTTTCCTTGGGCTCCCCATGGTATATCCATATCTGATGACTTACCGGAGGGATTTACATCGGGTATCATGCACTTCCAGGATATCTTTGTTTCCTCGTCGGCACGGGGTCAGAATTGGGTCATAGCAACCACCAGCGATTGAAAAAGTCGGAAGCCTTAAAATTACGGAGGAAACATAATCCTGGTTGGTGGTTAAAAAAACATCTTGAAAAATATGAGTTCGTCAATGGGAAGGATGACATCCCATATATTATGGAAAATAAAAAATGTTTGAAACCACCAACCAGCATCTATAGCATCCTGGAAACAAGTGGCTCTACAGCGATTTTTTTTGGGTAGCCGTATAATGCCGTATATACATTCAAAAAAAAAAGCAGCCAGAAAGCCCCTGTTGGCTCATACTGGTATGATTAACCCAAAAATATCGCATGGGATTGGGTTCTATTTAGCAATGATTAGGATTTCTGTTGGTATTCGAATGTATATGATCAACCCAACAAAAATGCAAACAGTTTCATGGTTTCAGCATTGTGTTAATCATAATGTTAAACAGATACATACTAAACGGATATAAATGGTATGTTAATTCAATCATAATAAATTCAATTATGTTGAAAATGTTTGAATAATATGGTTGGATGAAAATCGGTTGATCATTGTAGTAACCAACATGTTAAACATGTTGAACATGATAAACATTGTTCAACCAACGTGGAAATTTGATGGAATTTCATTGATTTTTGATTTATGTTGATGGATCTTCATGGACTTTGATGGCTTCAAAATCTTTCAACCATCAAAATCCATCAAAATCTATGAAAATCCATTGTTTGACGGTGTCAATTTTGTTTCAAAGACTTCAATTCTTGAAAAATCAAGCAGCTCCTGGAGCTCCTGCAGAAGCTCTCTCTCCAAGTCACCAAGGCCAGAACGGCCACAGCGCAACGGGACAAGCGGGGCATGGAGCGGAGCCAGGCTATGGTGCCATGCTGCGAAGGTGGAAAATTTAAGGTGAAAATATGGTGAACATCTAAAATCATTGTGAAAACATGTGAAGTCAACAGAACTTGAAGGGCCTTTATTCATCTTTATTCAGTTTTCAAATTCGATGATGATCAGTCGTGGAAGCTGAAGTCATGCTGCTGAAAATACCCACGGTGAGCCTATGGCCTATGTGAAGCATCAAATCGGTCAGTGGTTGCAGCTGTGCATGCCTTGCTGCAGCTCATTCTCATTCTCATAGTCTGCTGACCACTTCGAGCTTAATTCTGCACTTACACGTCCTACGACATGTCTCACACGCACAGCACGGACAAGATTCAAGACTTCAGCATCCTGCAGCCATGTGCCTGGTGACAGTGGAACAAACCATCCCTATTGTTATTGGATCAAAACCCTATGTTTCAAATGGATGTCCATTCCCCATGCTCATGGTCCCAGCTATCAACAGTTCGTATTGACAACGAACGCCACATAACAATTCGTAGGTTCCACTACGTATATTAAGCTTGGGATTAATCATAAATTATTTACCATTGTCAATTATCAACGATCATGGACCATCATTATAACCACTATCAACCATTATCAACCATATTTTTCGTCATATCATTAAACATTCATAACCATATTATTCATCATATTCATCATTTCTTGACCATGATTAAGATTATTAACCACAGATCTAAGTTTCCTCAACCCATATTTGCTCCTTAGGCGTCCATCCTTTTCTATCCCGGCCTTCCGCATCTTCCAGAAGTAGTCGCGACTGCGACCAGCGTTTGTCGCAGTAGCATTCGGGGTCCAACACCCAGGCGAGGGCCGCCTGAGCCACAGCGGCCCCAAGATCATCCAAGATCCGTATGGAAAAATGTAGAAAATACAAAGCAGGATCCAACCATTCTCATCTAAATATATCTAAATATATCTAAATATATCTAAATATATCTAAATATATCTAAATCATGTTGAAATGCCAACAAACCGCTGCACGTTGATTTAGTGTCTGTGAAAACTCAACATGTCTCTATAGTTGATTTATAGTGTCATAGTGCAGTATAACTTGACTTCGTCGAACACCAGTGCAAATGAACTCCTACTGTACAGGCTAGAGTTGTGCCTTACACCAAGCACTGGAGATGCTTGCACCATGAATTGTGATTTCGTGACAGTTTCATGAAGTATATAAGAATAATCATGAATATATTACATGAATAAACAGTAAGATCATGACACATCATCCTATCATCTCAAATTTCCAATTTCACAATGTTCACACAGTGACTTGGCTGTGACCGTTCTCAGTGGATATATCGGATAGACATGATCTGAACAGGTCAACCAACGAGTCATCTTGGTCTCCGGACGAAGAGGCGCTCAACACCGGTGCCAAGTGCTCCATGTTGCATGTTCTGGCGCAGGCAATGGAGGAAACACATCGACAAGGGCTGGTTTCATAGGATGAGGGCTCCTCGCATAATATAACTGGTTGGTGGTTGAGACCTACCCCTCCGAAAAAATATTTTTGTTCGTCACTTGGGATGATTCTTCCCAATATATGGAAAGATAAAAAATGTTCCAAACCACCAACCAGATAGTCAAATATCATCAAATATACCTACTCATATTCCATAAATTGAAAGGAATCCGCTCATGGATCAAAGTTGCATGACCCTGCCCCTGGTTCTGCGATTTCACAGATGCTCCTTCTACAATTTCCAGAAGTCTTCACAACAACTGGAGACTTTGCTGGCTGGCCAAAACAGGATGTGGACACAACTACAACTGCGGAGCTTGCAAGCATGTACTAAGTATCACGAACTACTTTAAACTCTTGCGTTGATGTTGGATCAATTAATTGAAGTGTGACCTGATCAACGTGTGACCTGATCAACGGGTGACCTGACCACCATACTGACACAGGTCCTCAGGTGGTTCTGGAAGTGCAGCGAGCTCAGCCAATTCATCCTGCTCAATGGTCCTGGACTGGTCGTGAAGACGGGGAACTCGCCACAACTTCAGCTTAGCAAATGAAAACGAAATCGAGACAAAAAAAGTGATCATACAGGTTTGTCTGAAAGTAAGGTAGCCCTAAATCCCATATAGTTTACTATAGTTTATCATCACTTCCCTCTAAACTTGTCATTTTATGTCATTTTCAGACACACCCATATGAATACGGTATACAGAATGCAATTTGGACTGTTTTAAACAATCCTGGTTCACCCATCTGCTTCACAAAAATATTAATTTCGCCAAGGCCACCTTGCAATCTTGCGCAGCGTCTGATCAAAGAGGGGCATCGGAGAGACCTGTATCGCCATGATCGCCTGGTGGATCAGGTCTCTGGTCTTTCTGCTGGATCTTTTGCGAAAAACGTCAATAGTTTAAAACGAGTTCCTCAATCCTGCAGTTTCGCGAAAAGATGCCACTGAAACTGTAGGAACTCAAGTTTCATGATTTGATACAGTAACTATATAGTCATAATATGTCATAATTATTGATGGACCTCCATAATTTCTCCACAGTTCCACTCAAACTTCGGACAGGAAAAACAAGGCCTCCGCCCATTGAAGTCTCTGCAGAGGATCTGCTGCGGGTGGACCTCAATGAGGATCGAATCTATTCGAAGGGGACGTGGGGATTTACCATCAAAATTGAAGGTTTCAAACAACACGACTAATAAATACGAATGATATATGACATTCAATGGATTTATTTAAGATGATTTAAACACATTTAGCAGAATCTAGCATCAGTTAGCCATGTTTCACCAGGTGTTTCCAGGTTGTTCCTATCAAATATGGGGGGGTCCAGATGTTTGACCGGCGTCAAAAAAATCGCAGCAACATGTCTTGACGACTCAGGGAATCGGTACCTGCGAATGAACAAGAACTCACACATATTCTGGTTGGTGGTATACCTACCCCTCTGAAAAATATGACTTCGTGAGTTGGGATTATGACATATTATGACATTCCCCATATATGATGGGAAAAATAAAATTCATGTTCCAAACCACCAACCAGACACGCATGTTGTGAGAGTCAATGGAGTCAATGGATGTGCCATGGATCTTTGGATCGATCCCTTTTCTTTGGATCATGAGACTCATTGAGATTCTTAACCTACCAACGAAACGTGTGGTCTTCTCTTCACACACTTCATACTGCCGGTTTCGCCAAGCTGCAGTTGAGCATCGATAGGCCAGCACCTGGAAAAACTTGACAGACTTTCCTGATGGTTTCTGTAGACTAAATGGGTTCAATGGACTCATTGATGGGATAGTTGTAATCTCAGGTGTCTAAACCACGGGATAATCTCATAGATCCATTAGCCCATGCACTTTGCGCATACCTTTGGTGTCAGTCTTGAAATTTTCTTGTCCCTCTGAACATCAACTAGTTTGCTTGTCGTTGTCATCTCGACATTTTTTGCATGCCATCTCACCCAGTGACTGAGCTCAGGACTATCAATAGCACATCGAACATACCTGTTACCCTCTGGTAATTTAACATAGCTATTGAAAATGGCCC